CAGATCGTAAAAAAAAAGAAAAAGGCTTGGCGTGTACCATTTAAGGTAGGAGGCGGCAGATTAGTAGATTGGTGGACTGGTGGACTGGTAGCCTGTTGGTAGTCCGTCTACTCCCAAAAGAATATCTAATCTCGTAAATCCACGAGATCTATGCTACCTCTCATGATAACCAAAGATGTAACAAGAGCAAGTCCCTCTGTCGGCATTCCATCTCTTCCAATATTTCTGTATCACTGGAGGATGATTTCAAATTATATACATCAAGTCTCATTGGTGGAATTTTGTGGAATGTCAAGATAGCCTGGCCTGTTTGGGGGATAGGAGTTCACAGAACCATGCATCTCTCCTGCACGCAGCCGCCGTAGGGCAGATGAGGATCGTCGCCCCAAAAAGGATTTACGTATGTCGGGAATGACGATGTAGGTAGGCAATAGGTTTCGAATATATGTGACATGAAGATATACCTACTTACGGTGTGTTGAAATATCGAAAGGGGAGAACAATAGGGAGATCAGATCAATAGGGAATAAATAAGAAATCAATTATCTCAACTGGGCAATGAATGCTCTCGGTTCTTCATTGATAATTTAATGCATAATGTTCATCTGAAAATCTTTTTTACATGTTGGCACTGGCAGATAGACATGATTCTTGGCGCTGGTGGTGAGTCCAAGTGTTGTTGCAGACAGGAAGTTAAGGTTATGAGGAGTCTAAGCGTTGTTTTGAGATTACAATGGAGGACTGGGTCGGTAGATGGATGATGGGATTGAGGGGATTGAGGATACAGGATTTTGATAACATGGACGATGTAGATGGGATTGATGATAGCAGTAGACGGGAGATATTGAGGTTACTCCTGTCTATTACCAAATTAAAGGATACCACGAATACCGGTAGATATGGACCCAAAAAGACGGCTAGCTACCCAGGTAGCTAAAGCAATGGATAAATGAATCATGATAGATACCTACTTATTCTTAGATATCAATGGCCGATTATATCATCATCACATCAAACGCACCAAAATCATCAAATCTTAGAACAATCGATTTTCACAGTCACTCTTGGCTATCACGGTAAGATCCGAGGAAAGTAGGGAAAACAGGAAATTATACCAGTTACCGGTGCGGTATGATTATTGAATTTTCTTTCCGAATGGTCTGATATCCACATCGATACACTAATAACGTATATCTCCGTAGCTTCATTCTCTTCCCTCGCAACAACAGGGGATTGGCTTACCAGCTCGACTCGACTGGGCAACAGAGAATGGACGGCGGTGGATGATGGATGGATGAGTGGATGAGTGGATGAGTGTTCCGCTCGGAGGTAAAAAATGCCCGATAAGATTTGCGACATGTGATGGTAAAAAGCAAATGCAAAAGTCATTTCTCATTCAAATCAGATCAGATCAGATTATGACTTCCAATAGACTTTGATGTGTTGGTTGAAAAGGTTAACACGAACACGGCATTGATGCACCAAGAGGGTAATATCCTAAGAACACTGGCATCAATGCCATACCCAGCTCTGGGTGACCTTTCTTCCTACTTTCCTTCACTCCCCTCCTAGGTCGCGCATCTACATCTCCGAGATGTCAGTTCTCCCTCGGCATATCGTGCCTAATAAGTTAACCATATTGCACGAGTCCACTATGAGAATGCACCCATGTTCACGGATGGGCAAATCTTTGGACATGAACAAGGATTGCGAAGCGCAACAAGTAATGAATAAAGATTTAGGATAAGGCGGATCAAATGGTAAGACGGTAGTCAAAACATCTCAAGTGATACTTGGCGATAGAGCACGAGAAGCGGGATGGGATGGAGTAGAACTTATAATTGAAGAATGAACACTGACGGCGAACCGGGTGAATGAATTGGAAGTATTGTTGCTACTACCAAATCGTCTCCAATGTAATTCAATACACTTCTTGCTCCTTCATCCGATTGGAACCAGAGGCGTGAGAATAAAGATGGAACAAGCTCGAGTTCTGTGATTCCCCATCCGCCATTCCATCAGCATCGGGTCATTTTCTTATATCCTCCTCCTTGTTCTTACTCATCAAAATCCGGATTAGAAGTTCAATGCTACCCCTTCCCTTGACTTCCCTTGACTTCCCTTGACTTCCCTTGCCTTAGCTGAGGATACGACTAATAACATCCAAGACCAAGATCGAGACCTTCAACGGAAATTCAAATCAGAGTGAGAGAAATCATTAGGGACGGAGGTTTGTTTACTCGATCATCTAACCTACGCTTGGAATCTTGCTACCCGTCTAAACCGTCTGCAACGACACATTTGCGCATTGATACTCATACCATCCATCTCCCATTCTTCTCTCCTCCCTCCTTTACATTCCATTCCTTCATCTCATCCCTTCGATGTTCAATATTCAATATTCAATCATCAATCCCTCGGGGGCAATCACAATCAAACGTTAGCAGAAACCGCTACGGGCGTATTAGATGATTTGTATCCATTTTTTGAATTCCCAAACCATCAGCAATTCATCTATTTTCTACCGGTTTTCCTTCCTGTCACTCACTCTGGCCCCACCATCATTTCCTTAACTTTCTTCCCACCACCCAAATCCCAAGTCGTATGGATATCTGTCTACTTTTTAATAAATATCTTCCTCCTTTGTAACCCCAGTCTTCACGTCGTTCCGTTTATTTTCATACATCGCCATATGGCATCAAGCCTTTTGCGGCACCAGATATAATTTTTCCGTCATGTTATAACAATCAAATGAACCTTGAAAAAATGTTGTGGTGGGCAAAGGGTCAACAACTATCTCCCTGGTATCTACGACGTGCCTGCGGATGTGCCGCTTCCCCCAAATTCTAGTTAGCCAGTCTAGCCAGTCTACTGCAATGCTAACGGGGACTGCTCGAATTACACAACTATTCATGGTAGTCATTGTCAATTGTCCATTGTCAATTGCAAACTGATATCCTATCCATTGCCACTATTCCCATTTGTCCAGTCACTCCACTGATTGCTACTCGGTAGAAAGCGTTACTACTACCAGTACTAGGGGACCGTACTCCAAGAGAGATTCCAAAGATCCTTAATTTCTAATTTCTACTTTTATACAATAATCATCTATATTGAATTGCTCTAAACTATTAAGGGAATCAAGCTAACCTTTCTTTTTTTCTTTTTTTTTTTTTCCTCAATCTACAAGGATTTTTCTTAAGTCAGGACCGGAATAAGATCACCTCCGCCAACCTACCTAGGTTATTCCCCTAGTCTATTCTAAAAATCGACACGACCCAAGCGAACACCTCCTCTACTGCACGTCTCTTTTTTCCCTTTCCCTTCCCTTCCCTTCCTTTCCTGAATGAATCCTTGCTCCCTGTTCATACTCCCTGCTCACGTTGCGTCGCAGCAGAGCCGAACACATTCCACGAGGGAAAAAAAGGAAAAAAGAGAGAGAAAGAGTAAAGAGGAACAGACGCGCTAAGTAAAATCGGTATAATCTCCAGTAAAGCTCCAAAAAGAATATCTCCATACATATTCATACATATCCATACATATCCATACCTATATCCCATCCAAAATATACTTGGGTACATACATACACACACATCATACCCATACATATCAACATACAACCGAAGTCGTCCTACCTCCTGCTCCCACGTCTAACTATCGTACAGTCATTACATTACACTACACTACTACACTCCTACACTACACACTACACACTTTACACTATACACTATACACACTTTTATACACATCCCATACACTTACATATACTACACCAAAATCGGTCGTCGACTAATACATGACTATCTACGTAAATTCAACTACCTCTACTTCTACTTCAACACTCTCACTCATTTATATCACCCACTCACTTGAACTTCTGAATCATCTCACTGGGACTTGTTCTTTTTGATATTCCTTCCCCTCTATTCATTATTAACTTAAGCTTTTTAATTTGGGAGAGAGAGAGACAGACAGAGAGAGAGAAAGCTATTCCCAAAGTATTACAACCACTCCCCACCCCTCCTACCTCATACATCAATTCATCCGATTGTTCCAAAGTTCAAAATTCAAACACACCTACCTTCAATACCCGCAATAATATATATCTTGATAAGCATCCAAGCTACCTGAAGTCAAATTAAACAAATCCGATCCACTTCATACAATCATTCAAGGTACACCAAACGGACCCTTCCTTGACCCTTGCCTGACTCCTCCGAACCCATCACTTGGATCTACCTGGAAAAATACTTATTATTCCCAAGATACGCCAACACTTCATCTTGATTTATATCTCCGTTGTCAATTTCACGGCCTTTACGAACCTAGTTCTTTGCCCTCAAGATTTCACCCCACCACGATTTATCACAAGTTCATCCCTTTCCCGAATATCATCCCCAGATTCAAGAATTTTACCTTTGTACCCTCCCTCGGAATCCTCCCCAAGCTTTTTCAACATTTTCCCACGGAAGTTGCACATCAACACAGATTGTTCGGTGCATGCTGCAGCTCACCGTCCACGTCAGTTAGTCACGAACATTTCGCATCTGCAGTATTACCTCAGTATATGTCTCGTCCTTCTTGTCTCAGTCTGCTTCGGAAGTAGCGCAAACCAAACCCATCTTACCAATTCTCAAGAACAGCGGCCCTCGTTATTCTTCCGACAACGCTCTTCGTGCATAATTCGGGACTGGAAGCTCTAGAGTCCCATTTAAACTTCTTGAATTCAGGTCTCGTTTGAAGTTCTGAAATTTATTTTCGGGCAGGTTAGTTCCAGCCAATGTTGAGCATTCAGGAAGCAATATACTAAATGAAGCTATAGCATTGTCAAACAAATAGGAAATCGAACTTATATACCCTCTTAATTTTGAAAAGGGTATCCCGCTTGGGAAACAACCCGGCGCATCTTATATATACCTTTAAGGAGGCATTGTGCTGTCATCAAAGCAGCGTTGACCTTCTTGAGGACTTTGCAACCTCACTAGGACACGATTATTTCCATGCAATCTCCAACGAACCAAGTCGATTATTCAATTGTCCCGCTCGGTGAACGGCGAGGAAAATCAGACCTGGCTCGCTTTTCTCTTGACTTGAGTTGGGCCAGAGCGGTACCCGACGGAGCTCAGTCTTGGGCATACCCCTCTCCGCCCATGTCAGGGTCTCCTCCACTTCCCGGTAGACACAACCTGGATTCCAGCGATCGCGGTCATGGAAGCTATGGGTCAACGGGAAATGTCTTCCGAGATGGACGCGTTTCTCAACAAGAACATTTCAATCAGATGAGAGGTGGTGTACCTTTAAGGAATTACCAGCCCGAACCTCAGCTCTCATATCCACAATATCAGATGGAAGACATGTCGGCGCAATACCAATATCAGCAACCTCGGCCGCAGATGGCGCCCCATCAACACCCTCATGCTCTATATGCCGCTCAACAGGTTGCGCCATATCCAGCACTGGAACGACAATCAATTGGGGAAGCCCCCGGCTACATCTCTCCAAAGTCACAGAGAAAAACTAAAGGGCATGTGGCATCTGCTTGTGTACCTTGCAAAAGGGCTCATCTTAGGTAAGTGATCTTAGAATGTCTTTGTGCCTTGTGCTGACTTAGTCTAGATGTGACGGTACGTTTCTAAAAGTTTCTAGTTTGAGCGCATGCTATTTTCCCCTTCAAGATCTTCAACCACACATTAAACTTGATTGTACCTTTATCCACTACCCAAAGGCACTCTTAATAAGATTCAATGGCAAAAGATTGTCCTCGGTGCGATTGACGGGAACAAATATATCATTACATTCTCAAGCGAGAATACCAATGATTATGAAAATACATTTTATCAGGCAAATGATTTCATCATAAGCCCAGGGCACTAAAATCTTTGTTAAGGCAATGTTTTTGTTTAGTAACATGCTCCAGTAGCTTAATACTACAATTACTGGCAGCTCCAACGGCTCGATCGGTGATTTGAATTGCCGTGTTCGGCACTAAGGGGGCGGGCGAACAAGTGCAAAATTGAAAGTTGGATCAAGTGACGACTATATTTTCCGTCTTCACGTCAAACACGCATAAATTATAATCTTTCGGTGTGGCGTGCGGAGTGCTGAGGAATATCTCATGTTTACCATGGGATGTTCCCGACCCTAAGCTATCCATGTATGTCGCAGCATGTACTAGGCAGGGTGTTGTACAACACGAGGTGCTCTTGTACTAGGCTTGGCTAAACACTCAACCAAAGCTCTGGGACAATCATGACCCATGGATTTGAAACTTTCAAATACGTACCAAGCGGTCCAACTCCGCACAGAAATTCCTCCAAACTTCACGAACAATCCTAAACATCATAAGATAAGCATAATTATTGCGCAACCTGTTGAGGCTCAGCTCAGAATACTCAAATACTAATCTTACTGTACTCTTAGCTCAACGGCCATGTTCGAGATGTCTAAGCAATGGGAAGGAGGATACGTGTGTGGATGTTCAGCATAAGAAAAGGGGGCGCCCAAGGCTGAGGGATGAGCGCGAGCCTCGATACGAAGGAGCAGGATCGAATTATCCACCGCCGGCAGATACTATGAGAAGACCCATGCCCATGTTCTCTACTGGCGACGTTTCGATTTCGACTCCATATTCCGACGCCCAGCGAAATAGCGGCTACAGAGTTCTGAAGTCGCAAGGAGGAAATCCAATGAACCACTCCATGGTTCCCACACCAATAAATACCAACGTTTACGGGGAAACGATGCCGACAAATCAGCGCATGGTACCTTATGAACCGGCATGTGCATTTCTCACCATGGAAATGCAAATCGCCAAAACAACGCAGGCTTTTTCGGGAGTGGTCGGTGCACACTCGGTCGTGGGGAGAAAGTTGCATGATATTGTGAGTGTTGGCGATCGAGATAAGATTTTCCGACTGCAGAGCGGATTCGAAGATGAGCGACGAAGTCGAGATCCAAGTTATCTCCCTCCCATATTCTCGAAAGAGGAGGAGGATAGGGTGATTCAGTCCTTGACATTTGCACCCAACGAGATGCAGCAATTGAGAACTGATCGACCAGAAGTCTTTACGTTCCAGACACCAGACGGTCAGCAGAGGGGCTTTCACGTACAACTGGGCCTCGCGAAAAAGGATTCGATTTATTTTGTGCTTCTGGTGGTTCATATCCCAACCACGCCGCAAGCATTCCAACAATCATCTTCGCCGTATTCGAGAGATTCCTTATCTCGTGACTCCACTTATGCATACCAAACCCCGAGCCAATTATCCTATGCCTCTCAAACCCCGAGAACCTCGCCGTTCATGTCGAATCCTCCTTTTGGGAGTGATATGTTAGCATATCGCAATCCGGGACCTCCAGCGCAAACCGTCGCCATGCCAAATAATAATTCTTCATATGGACAACCCCCAACAAGAGCGCCGGAATATTCCCGCGCGCAAATGAATTACCCGCAAGCACCCATGGGTGATATGTTATCAGGCCAAGCACAACCCCAAACACAACCACCACAACAAGCACAAGCACAAGCGCCCTCACAGCCCCAAACTCAGACGCAAACTCAACGAGCCTCGGATCTGCAACTCCCGCCCATCCGTGGACAGGCACCTCCAATGGATGTCAGGGGACAGGGTGATCGTAGTAGTCGGGTGGATATCGGCGGACTCCTGCAAAATCCGGATCCCTCTCGGAGAAGGAAATAAATCCCATACACGCGGGAGGGCGGGCGGAAGCCATTTAATTAATTAATTCGTGAACACCATGTGCACATCTATCTCTATCTATCTCGCTCCCTCTCTCGCTTTCCGATCTTGTGATTTTCAAGGAACGAAAATTTAATATCTCATTTTTGGCAGATTGGATTGGATTGGATTTGGGTTGGATTAAATGCGATCGGATGGGTGGATGGATGGATGGATAGGTTCAAATTTAGGGTTTGGAACGAACGGTCGGGAATCCACCGCTTGGATTTCACCTCTCAGATAGGCAGGCAGGCAGGCGGACATGCATTTAAAACTTACCAGACGGGAGTTTACAGGGGGACGGACCAGGGAATTCTTTTTGAGGTGTTTCATCCTTCGTGTCGTTATTATTCATCTTTTGATTCTTGTATTATATACTTTATTGTATGCATGCATGCCGAGCCAAGTCAAATCGAGCCAATTTTATGTTGTTATGTTGTGTTGTGTTGTGCTATTCTCATCCTTCGTTGTCTCGTTTTGGGGTGGAAAAATTACAGGCGCATGTTTATGTATACGTATATATGTACATACATACATACATATCTGTTTGTTTGTTATATATCGTCATTATTACCACAGTCCATTTATTTTGAGCGGGATTTTTTCTTTGGATGTTTTTGGAGGGTTCGGGGGCGGGGTGAAACGAATTCGACTCGTATCAAATGGAATGGAATGGAATGAAACTTCGAAGAAGATGGCTCATTCGTTGTATAGGTAGCGGATTGTTCTTATTTTCATCTTCTGATACATGGCTTTGCGAGGATTATGGTGCAGGCTGCGGGTGTTTATCTGGGTTGGTTGGGTTGGGTTGGGTTTGGTTATTATGTGTATGCACATGGATTTTTTTGTGGTGTGCGGGGAGGGAATAGGGAGGTTCTTGCGCGCGTGTGTGTGTGTGTTTGAGAGAGAGAAAGAGATTAGAAAGAAAGGAGGTTGTATTATATTTTTATTTTATTTTGTTGCTTGTTTATTTATTTGTTGAGTGATTGAGATTTGGGTATTGAGATTTGGGTATTGAGATTTGGGTATTGAGATTTGGGTATTGATTTTGGATGTATGGATGGATGGATGGATGGATGGATGGATGGATGGATGGACGGACAGGAGGAATTGGAACTGGAATTGGAATTTGGGTATAGGTTTGGAAATGGAAATGGAAATGGAAATGGAAATGGAAATGGAAATGGAAATGGAAATGGAAATGGGTATTTGGCACTAGATATAGGATTGGGAATGGGATTTGGGTTTTAATTTTGGTAGAGAGGGTGGGTGGATGGGTGGATGCATGAATGAATGGAGGAGGGAATGGTTGAGGGGGTTTATGAAGTGGAGAGATGATGAGATTGGTGATGGTGATGGTGATGGTGATGGTGATGGTGATGGGATGGTGATGGTGATGGTGATGGTGATGGTGATGGTGATGGTGATGGGGATGGTGATGGTGATGGTGATGGTGATGGTGATGGTGATTGTGATGGTGATGGTGATGGTGATTGTGATGGTGATGGTGATGGTGATGGTGATGGTGATGGTGATGGTGGGTGATGGTGATGTGATGGTGATGGTGATGGTGATGGTGATGGTGATGGTGATGGGGAATGGAAGATGGAGGAGTAGGAAAGGAGGTGAGGTGCTTAAGAATGAGCATGAGTATGAGATGGAGATTGAGCTAGATGATGATGAAATTCACTTGATAGTGAAGATGGGGAGATAATAGGGAAATTTAAAGATTTTATATGTTCTAAGATTCTGAGTTTTTAGGCTCTGGGGAGATGAGATGAGAGAGGAGATGTGTTTTGATGAGGATTTATGAGCTTGGTATTGTGTGGTATGGTGTGATGTGTATGATATGGTGTGGTGTGTGTGTATAATATGTTATGGCATGATGTGATGTACGCAATTCTATACTTCAAGCGAAGAGGGGGTAAGAAATTGAGATTAAAGGGAGGAAGAGTGGAGGGTAGGTTTTTAGGTTAAGGATTTGCGAGAGGAATGGAGGGAGGGATGGATTCTAGGTTGCCTGCCTATGCATAAATCTTTGTATATGTCGTTTGAATATTATTGATGGTTGCCTGGTTTATAGATTGGGGGTCTTGTTCTTGTTTCTGGTTGTGGGATTGGATGGATTGGATCGAGTTGAGTTGTGTCGAGTTGTTGGAGAATCTAGATTATAGGGGATGTTTGTTTGCTTGCTTATTCATTTGTTTGCCTGGTGAGGAATCGGGGAGGTAGTAGGTGGTTGGGGGCTGGGGATTGGAGTTTTGATTTGATCTGTGAGTATTTTCACTTGTGGTTGTATTGGGGATTGGGGTTGTATGGATTTTAAGGGAGTAAAGTGGTGGGTGTAGTCGAGGTAGGTAAGTGGATGAATGAGGTTTGGAGTGGGAAAGGGATTCAAATGATAGGTATGATGGATAGGCATGATTAGTAGGTATAGTGAGATTGAATGATCGAGCATTGGGGAAGATATAAGGAGACTATGCAGTAGTCTTGCTGAATGCATGGAGGGCGGTAGAGGACGATCCGACAAAGGTGTGGCGATTGGTTGGGTGTGTTGTTGCTTGATGAAGGGTTGGGATTTTGTTGGGATGGTGGACTGATCGATCGGTCTACCTAAGTCTTCAACCGTTCATGTAGTCTTACTTCTTTTTGTCGGTAGTGTAGTAAAAGTACTTATCAGCCTGTTAAAAGATGCTTCGAGTCCAAAATATCATGGAAAGTGTGCTCTTCGGTAGTAGTATGTAGAACAGTTAGCACATCAATGAAAATTGCTCTCTTGTTTCACGAACCGAGGATTTTCCTACAAAGGTCAGCAATGGGGTATTTCACTACAAATGGATCTTACCATTCTCTGTTTTTTCCATAGCTAATTCCCGTTCCATGATTACGTAGGATACTCTATTTCGTCATCCAGATATCACGGAGTGCAAGCTGAATATCATAGATCGATATCACAAATGCGCAATTTGGTCAGCTGCGCATAAGGTTAAATATCACGTGCTGCTGACAACCCCGCACTTGCGAGCGAGCTCTAGGTATGCACCTCAACAAGGCTCTACTAGTCTCTATATTATCTATAAATCCATCTCAAGTTAATCTTTAATGTGTGATATCCCCTGCTATGTCTTCCTATTCCTATTCATCGCTTCCGGAAAACGGCGAAAACATTCGCCTGCTTCGACTGTTACCAAGTGAAGATGAGGCTGCACCTTTACATTGCGAGCTTCGAGATTATTCTCTACGAAGATCAACTCCACGAACTCACTTGTATGAGGCTCTATCCTATGTATGGGGTGATCCGCACAATACTCTGCCTATCTCTGTGAATCAGAAACAATTTCAGGTCACGATGAACCTACACGCTGCTCTGTTACGTCTTCGTGATCACTCTTTCGAACGGATCCTATGGGTGGATGCTATCTGCATTGACCAGAATAACAATGAAGAGAGAAAACAGCAAGTTCAGCTTATGGCAAGGATTTATAACAGTGCGAGTCGCGTTGTAGTTTGGCTTGGAGAGGAGATAGAAGAAATAAAGGGAGCACTTGAGGACATACAAGTAGCTTCTAACGAAGAGTCTAGAAAGCACTCAAAGGAAGTGGTAAAGAAGCAACATATACTCAAACTTCTTCAAAATCCATGGTTCCAACGCATCTGGGTGAGGAACATATTCTCAGCCAAAGTTGCCAGACGATATTGACATGGTTACTTCAGGTGCTTCAGGAAGTTGCCGCGGCTCAACATGTCGTAATTATGTGTGGATCGATAACCATTGCTGGATCTGCATTCTGCATGGGGGTGAAGTCCCTAGAGCTCTCCTACACAGATTGTCCAGAACTGCAGACTCTTCCTTCAGTTGTTGACATAATAGAGCGAGCTGGTCTCCGACCTAAATTGAAAGCAAATTTGTCGGAAAGGTTCTCCCTAGAGATACGATCTTTAGCTGAGTTGATAGATATGTTCCATACCCGCCAAGCCACTGACCGTCGCGACAAGGTTTTTGCTTTACTTGGTATGAGCTCTGACGATCCTGAAAAGGCTGGCTTGCAGCCCAGTTACGAGACTTCCTGGGAAGAGATATTCCAGCAAGTTGTCAAATTCATCCTTGGTCCATATATATATGTGAAGACTTTTAGACAGAGAGTGGTGATCCAAAGCAAAGGCGTCATCTTGGGCTGGGTATCCTCGGTAGAGAGGGACGATAGACAGCATGTAACTATCGACGGTAGACGCACGGTGCTGGGCTTAGATTATGCATTAGAATGGACAGTTCAGGCTTCGGCAAACCCCATCCGAAAACGTGACATCATCTGCCTTCTATATGGAGCTTCGAAACCTTCGATAATCAGGCTGTGTAAGGATCACTTTGCCGTGGTTGTGATTGCGGCAACCCCTTTAAATATGTCAACTCGTTATGAATGGCCTCAAATTTCACAGTCAACAATAAAGTTCTTGCGGTATTTTTCACTTGTCTGGAACTGGGAGAGTTCCTGTGGAAACTTGAAAGATGAGGGGGAATATGAGACCTCAGTAAAGATACATGGTCAAACATTAGTGTTTCCAAGTGCAGATTCCAGAGGATATTTAAATGAAGCAATTAGATTGTGGAATGATGTAGAGATAATGGATGACTTGTATGAAAATTTAGAAGCAGATGAGAGGCTTCTAAAAGCAAGAAGCAATTATATGGCAGCATTTAAAAAAGGCCCTCTGCTTTGCCCGATTGGTCAAGGTGGTCGAACACTACTATCATTCGCTGCTCATGAAGGGCACGACGATACCATCAAACTGCTACTTGAAAAACTTTATCCAGACACAAAAGATGGGAAATATTATCGAACGCCGCTATTCTGTGCTGCTCTGACTGGGAATGAAGCTATTGTCAAAGTACTACTCACGAATTGCCAGGTTGAAGTTGACTCAGAGGATTTCACTGGGCAAACACCGCTATCGAGGGCTGCTGAGGCTGGGTATGAAGCTATTATTAAACTACTACTCGCGACTGGCAGGGTTGAAGCTGGCTCAAAAAACAATAACAACCGGACGGCGCTACATTTTGCTGCTAGGAACGGACATGAAGCTATTGTGAAGGTACTACTCGCAACAGGTCAGGTTGAAGCTGACGCGAAGGACATTCTCTATCAAACAGCGTTATCAATGGCTGCTAGAAAGGGGCATGCGGGTGTCGTGAAATTACTCCTCGCAACTGGTCAAGTTGAAGCTGACTCGAAGGACCTTCGGAATCAGACGCCGCTATGGTATGCTGCTAAGAATGGGCACGCGGCTGTTGTGAAGCTACTACTTGCAACCGGCCAAGTTGAAGTTGATTCCAGGAACAGATTTGGTCGAACGCCGTTATCACGGGCTGCTGAGAATGGGCATGAAGCTGTTGTAAAGCTACTGTCGTAGACCTACAAGCGCTCATAGTATAATCTCATAATGACTCTTTAAAAGGAATGATCATTCAAAGAAATCCACCCTCTCTGAAGGTTGAGTGTTTTAAGTAGAGTGGGTGAGAGAGCCAAGGGGAGAGCTAGTAAGCCTAAGATTAGTGCTATTGTTAAACTATTAGAGAACTCTATTTTATTGGGTTGAGAAGTCAAATACATTTAAAAAGCAAATAGAGTGCTTTACTTTACTATAGTATGTCTCTATAACGAATAGATACCGGCAACAGAATAACATGTACAAAGAAACTTAGATAAAGACATCAGCTAATTAAACGACTAACCAATACAGCTTCACACATACCATTATATTGATCAAATCATTCTCAAAACGAATCGATAATTCGTAAGGTTCATTTCTATATCCGTTATCAGAGCAAATAAGTCGTAGAGAACGTAGTGGGGGATCTACATTTTACATTCTTTGACATGACGCCACGTCTTTTGAAACTAGGTACTCGTAGCTACCCGAGTAGTCGGAGCTAAAGACCTTACATATTAATGTTCTCTTAGGTCTTACATTATCTAATTTTATTTCGATGTTTCCAAAGAGTGAAGATTACGATATTTTCATTCATTTGATGGCAGTAGAATGATAAAACCAGAGCAATTTTAGGAATGATTTTTAACATACCTACTAAGGTATGCCAATGTTGTTCGGAAAACAAAGTCATCGTGGGACGACGCTACCGAAGTCTTGTCGTCATCATTCCTGTCAATATCAACAAACCCCGAATATGCAAACTGTCTAATAAATACAACACAATGTAACTAACTCATTTTTCAAACCTTTTTCCAGAAATGCAATTGTCCATGTTGACATCTTAACATTCCAATGATTTGATTCTTTACATCAATCAAATCAAAATGCCTCTCGACGCTCGTTCTCCAGTGATTCCACACTACCTTCAGAATCTCTTCCTCATTACGCTTTGCGCAGCCTTTACTCCTCTTTTAACATTGATAGCTATACTCTCTACCCTCATATCTCCTCTCATCACCCCCAAACAAATCCAACATCCCCGCAAATGGCGCACAAACTCTAAAACCCCTCCCCGCACAATCCTCGTAACAGGGGTAGGAATGAGCAAAGGCCTCAGCATCGCGCGCTCCTTCTACCGCGCAGGCCACCGGGTCATCGGCGCAGATTTCGAACCATACTATATCCCCGTCTCTGGACATTTCTCCAAATCGCTCCGAAAATTCTACCGTCTGCGGAAGCCGGGTGGGAAATCGGGCGCGGAGGAATATACCAGGGATATTGTGAATTTTATTGAGAAAGAAAAGGTGGACTTATGGGTATCGTGTTCGGGCGTCGCGTCTGCGATTGAAGATGGGGAAGCAGCGGAAATGGTGCAGCGGAATACGAAATGTGCGGCGGTGCAGTTTGGGGTGGGGTTGACGGAGACGCTGCATGAGAAATTCTCCTTCATTAAATATACGATGGAGTTGGGCTTGAACGTACCGCTTACGTATAAGATTCATTCGTGTGAAGAGGCTTTGGAGATCTTGCACCCGGAGAATGGATCATCGGTCGATAAACAGTTTATCATGAAACCAGAAATGGTCGATGATAGTGTGAGAGCTGATATGACTTTGCTTCCCTCTCCGTCACGCACACAAACAGATAAACATATTCAAAAACTCAACCCCTCACTCAAAAGACCGTTTGTTCTTCAGCAATATATCAAGGGCAGAGAATATTGCACACATAGTATTGTTCTCAAAGGCAAAATCCATGCGTTCGTCTCATGTCGCTCTTCAGACATGTTAATGCACTACCAAGCTCTCCCGCCTCCATCAGCTCTCGCAAAAGCCATGTTTCACTACACTACTCTGTATATTCAGCGCGCCGCGGAAAGAACTCCCAATTCCCCAATCACCGGACATTTCTCTCTCGATTTTCTAATTGATGAGGAAATTGCTCAGAACGCAGAGGGTTCTCTTCATCCTTCATCTAAGGAAATTGAGAAATTGCAAAAAGAACTCTTCCCTATTGAATGCAATCCTCGCGCACACACAGCTGTGGTTCTACTCAATGATTCTGCGGAAGAAATGGCAGAGGCATATTTGTCACTATTATCCGACGATATCACAAATGGAAATGGAGATACATCTTTAACCACACTCCATGAAAACGAAGATCCAATAACTCCCCTTCCCCAAGCCGTCAATGGGGGTTATTATTGGATCGGTCATGATTTTGTCACGAAAGTCCTTCTCCCAATATACCACTTAATCAGCTTTCAAAAAGGAATCACGAATCTAGTAAAAGAATGGTGGGAATTCGGTAAACATGTATTACTGTGGAAAGATGGCACGTATGAAATTTGGGATCCTTGGCCAGCGTGGTGTTTGTATGTGGTTTTTTTGCCAGGATGTTTCTGGGCGAGTTTGTGGGAGAGGAAGTGGTGGAGTAGGTGTAATGTTAGTACGGGGAAGTTTTTTGGGGTCTGAGGAGGGGTGATGCTGTGAGGTGCGAGGGTATGGGGTTTGATGGTATGAGAATTAGTGATCTTGAAAAAGGGTCTCAGATACCATATGTAAACTGCAGTCCTGAAAGCAAAAGTTCTCGATTCCCAGATCTAATCAGAAGATTCAATGGATTCAAACTATGTAATGACTTCCTTTTCACCCATCAAACCGCTAAGTAAAATCAAGAATTCACATATACTCATAGAATTTTGAAGTACTAGACACTCTCATCCTTATTCAACTCCTATGCTTTGACAATCTTTCAGAGGTTGAAATGCAAAATTTCAAGGTCTAAACAGCAGATATAAATAGATAATCGAATACTCATAACAGTTGACTACCTATGATGTCATGGTTTTCTATCTCGAAAACTAGGTCATAGAGTACCTTAGGTATGTAGGTACCTAAGCTTCGCCTAATTAAATACTCGCTTCTGAGTTCTCATACGAGTATTTTATTTAGTACCTATTAATATATTTTCATCTTTTCATCTCTTCATTTCTCTTTCCTCCTTTTCTTCCTCCTTTTCTTCATTCTTCATTTCTCCGTTCCTCTCTCTATCCATTTACTTTCAAAATTCAACCTCCAATCACAATCCAGACTCCTCCCTTCTCTTCTCTCTTCCCCCGTCTCGCTCGAAGAAAGTTTGTTTATCTATCTACCTATATCTACCTACCTACCTACCTACCCAGCTAGACTAGACCAGATAGATAGATAGATAGATAGATAGATACGCTTTATGAGTTGTTGGGTATAAGTGAGTGAGTGAGTGAGTGAGGGAGGGAGGAAACATATCATATATATGTATATATATATATATTGATTCATATAGATGGATACTTGGGGAGATGGATGAAAGAGGAGAGAGAGAGAGAGAGAAAGAAAATAAAACGCCGAAGTCCCCCGATCCCGATCCCGATTCTATCTATCTATCTATCTATCTATCCATCTATAAAGAATCAGAAATACTCATTTGCTATTTATTTATTTATTTATCTCACACCTCTCACACGTCTCCCACATTTCATACAAAAATAAGTGTACAAGATCTTTTTCGAAACTATAAAAAGCCAAATAAGCAAGAACTCTCTCTTCCTTATCTTGATATCTATACAGAGTAGATTGAATTCATCGAGACCTTACTCACTCACTCACTCATTCCATTAGGATCTTATGCAGATACGATACTCACATTTAGATAATATAGGGATTAGGTCATCGTGGTTAGATAGTTCTGCTAATTACACTAGGTAGGCTGGGAAAGGATATAATATACGTAACCTGGTCAATTGGCGTGAAATGAAGTGAGTGAAGAAGAAATATATGTATATAATATATAATATAACGGTATGTACAAAAGCTCTTATCTTAGCATATATATTCTTACAGCGCAAGGGATATTCAAGGCCCTCACATCTAAACATCATCTAGAGGCCTATTCCCTCTTCCCTCTCCCCTCTCACCATCCAATGCAATCCAATCCAATCTATTCCTTCTCTCCCCCCAGCTCCTTCAACCCCCTCCTCAACCTTTCCCTCTCCGTCCTCTCCAACTTCTGCTTCACTTCATCCACCAACTTCGCCAACTTTTTCGTCCTCTTCTCCTCCAAACCCTTCTCCAACTTTGCCAATTTCTTCCGCATCTTCTTTTCATCCGCTTCCCGTTGCCCCTGTTCCTTTCGCTGAATCTCTTTCCACACCTCCAGCTGCTCTTTCGCATGTTCCTCACACTCCTTCTTATCGTAGCGATGGAAAACATCCGTGGTCCAGAAATCCGCCCTCCAATCCCAAATCCGAGCGCCTGATCCATACTCCCTCAGGAATGCTTTGAGCCAATCATCCGCCTTGACCATTCTTAGCTTGTGGCCCCTGATCTTGGGTAATTCGTTGGGTTTTCTATCCATATGTCGCAGTTTATTTGCTTCGGTTTCTCGTGACAAGACGACTGAACCATACACAGTGCCCCGTTTCGAATACCTGACATATCCTTTTATGGCTGTACATCTTCCCTTGAAAGCCTCGATTAATTCTTCATTCGTTGTGCCGAGGGGAATTCCTATGACTTTAAGACTGTTCTCGACATTCTTTTTGATTATTTTAGGATCTAAATAAGTTGGCAATCCATAGATACTTTGCGATCGTTCGTGTAGTCTCGCTTGACGATTTGCTATCCTCATCTTTTTCTCTTCCTCTTGAGCCGGATCGATCTTAAATGGGAGCCCAACATGATTCGAGGATTCTGCCAACCTTTCATTATATTTACTGTCTAGATCTATCCAATTGGCCCAACCCTCAAGGCGCTCGGTACCACAGTTCACACACCGGTGATCATAGATACTGTTTTGACAACCACATCCTTCCGATTTACATGTCCAAACATCAGAGCGATGAACAAGAGCATCATTAGATGGTTGTGAAAAACCTCGATCATGTTGAGGGTATTCGGTCGATTGGTTGTCAGACCTTCCAATCCACGTGAATGGACGACTTTTGGGTTGAGAAAAAGGAGTATTATCAGATTCCTGTACAAATTCTGTCCTGTTCTGTGTGTCTTCGGTCGGTTGGTAGCCACTCATTTGGATGCCCTTATAATTAAATCCTCTGGCTTGTGAATCAGGAGAGTTACGGTTGAAGGATTCGTTCAGCAGATCAACATTGAAAGAATTGAAAGCACTTGCACGACTCAAATGATATCTGATCGTTGGGTCATTAGATGCGGGCAATGAGGCTTCTGACGGATCATGGATTGGAATTTTTGAAACATCCGAATTATTATCAATCACGTCGTTCATAGAAGATGAAGAGGCCCCAGGTTGAACAAGATCCGAGACTTCGGAATCGTCCAGATCTTCCTTGACTTCAGGAGCCGAGACCTTTGATCCACCGCCCGGAGTAGAATTCAAAATTTCTGACAACCTTCCAGTAATTGGACTTGTCAATTTTATCGGTATCTTCTGGAGTGGAGTCGAAAGTCTTTCCGAAGATTTTTCTAAAGTAGAATCTTTCAAGCTTGAATCGGGTGTTCGTTTGTCCTTGTCTAAAGATCTGGATGATACTGACGGCAACTCCAATCGTTTAATCGTTATTTCATCGAGAAGGCGGGCTAACATAGGTTCTATCTGTTGAAGATCCGGCGTAGGTGGAGGAGCAACGTCCTCACAAGACATACACACAGCAGTCGCATAATCTCCATCATGACTTATGCTCATCGGTACTATCTGGTCCTCCTGTCCTGCTGCTGATTTTATGAGTGTGACGGGTGCTCTAGACCTGAGGTTATCCAGAGATGGGCTGTCAATTGTAATGTCGTGGAAATTCAATTTTCTTTTGCTAAATGCTTTTTTCGCTGCTTCTTTCGCCGCAAAACTGAATAGTGTGGAGTTAGCCATAGCCTGTTGCGCGAATCTCGACTTCAATAAACTCACCGGCCAGCCACAAACCTCGCAACTCCGTGCACATTTTCTTTCAATTGAAGCAAAATTGATTCCTCTTCCTCTTTTGTCAATTTCTTCAGATCTTCTTGCGCGCCGTGGGTAGGCCATATCAAAGAACCGACAGGGCTATCATTCGCGGCAGTACTATTCAGCAGAGGCGTCTCTTTCGGCGTAACGAGTCCGATCAACGCCTCCAAGCTTTTCGCCTTCCATCTTTCTTGCTTTTCTATTTTCCCTTGAATAAACTCCCTTCGTTCCATAAAATAGAGGTATTCGATCAATGGCAATAACCTCGGTCGATACCACACTTGCTCCTGTGGAGTGAATATCCTTCTGATAAATCGATGTGCATATTTCGATTGATGCTTCGTTAGGATATCCTGAATGCGACTGATTCTGCAAATGTCGGTTCCAATGTTAACAGGAAAAGGGAATGCTCGTGGCATATTGAGTGAAAATTGGTCATATAGGTGCTGTATGGTAAATTTGTCTCATAGTGGCGCTACACATGTCGCTCTTCATCCGCAAAGACATGAGGGGAATTGTATCTATCGAATTGTGTTATCGAAGGTTTTTTCTCCCCAAAGTTTGTTATCCGATACAGAAGCTCGGCCCCACTACGCGAAAACACCTGATGAGACGGATTTCCGCGTCTACTAATAATACTAATAACCTTCATCAGCATCCAACTTGTGAAAGCCTCTCAGTGTATATATACATAGTGACTTATTGCTACTTTGCTGGGTTTCAGCACCTATTGATCAATTCAATGAGAATAGAATCCATCATTATACTTATCTGTACACTAGAAGTATTGGCAATTGAAAGACTTTAATCACTACACTAGGTAGGTTCGACTTCTAACCTGCAAGATGGTCACTCAATTATTGCAAAAGGCATGAGGTCATCAAGACAAATCCAGTTGCAAAAATCCATATAAAGGAGAATGATTCAATTTTGATGCATACACAGATTCAATTTGTCTGATAGCCCTGAACCTAGAAGTGTGATAGATTTCGCATTATCCGTCAAACAACCAAAAGAAGAAATAAAAATGGAAGAACATCCCCCAATCCATGCGTAACACCTATTATTAACCCAGAGGGTCCCCAAGACATGATACCACAAATTTCCCGTACTATTTTAAAGCCCTCCTGCATCAAGTTCGGATCTCAGAATTTGACTAAACCTCGTTATATTAAGATATCCATGAACAAGTTATACCTAGGTAATGATTGGAACCACAAGAGCCCAGTCATTTCCATCAATTTAGTGATCGTCCAAAAGAGGGGCTCTCTCTTGATCCTCCGAAGCGAGTGGAGTTTCTCTTCTGAATGAAATCTCCTTGCCGAAAATTCCAGGAACGGCAACTATCAATGTAGCAAGGAAGAGAGTACCCATTATGGTAAAAGCAAAGATCCACTGAAGAGCGAATACTTTTGTGAAGAATTGACCAACGCCGATGGCTGCCGTGATGATACTGAGGGCAAATCCCATGGTGTAATCCTAATACCTAGTCAGTATTTCTAGAAACTTTGTGGTTCACACTTAGAGTTCTGAATCATTCAAACGCACCTTGTAAGCAGCAAGGAAGAAGAGTCCATATACTAAGATGCCCCAGATTGCAACATTTGCTATGATACGTGCAGGAAGGTTGTGAGCTCCAACGGCGATAGCCCCGTTCCAATACAAAGCTACAAATGTCCAAGCGAGTGGACCAGAGGTAGCGGGCATATGAATGAATCTTGGGGTGGTATTATGACGGAAGTAGAGAGAGGAAAGGTTGAAGAAATTGATGATCAATATAATCTCAGCCCATACAAAGTGAGATCGAACGAATAGCATGACGAATGCAAACTGCAAGAGATTGTTCAGAATGAAATGACTTCCAACTGATGCTGCGGCGTTGACATGTTCAACTTCGTCGCTGAAGAGGTGAAGGACATATCCAATTTGAAGAATGAAGAGGAACAACCTAAGAATGTGTTAATAATGTAAGCTCTTGGATGCTGTAGGATAGAATCGTACCAATAGAATGAAGCAATGAAAGCATTCATAGCAAACGGTGTGTGGTGTATCTTATTCTGCTCCCAAATGGTATGACGCCAACTGTGCTTGTCATCTTGAGGTGCGTGGAAGTTGTAGTAGAAGGTGACTACTACCATCAACAACCAGGATATAATTGTACATATTTTATATGTCCAGATTGCTTGGATTGGATGGGTATCTCGTCGCGCGAATGGATTCGCTGTGTGCCATACCGTTAGCCTACAGATATCTAGGAATGGATTTGGGAGAGAAAGTACCTTGCGCAAATGAAGGACTCATCGTGAAACTGTTTAGGCTGGGTCTGCGAGAATCGAGAGAATCACGTAGGATGTATGGATATGAGTTTGTTGAGGTTCGTTGACTTTGTCAAGAAAATAGACGGTCTTGATTTAGAAGGAGGCTGATTGATGACATTTCTCTTTAGAAAGTGCAGTTGAAAGGAGGGGAAGGGACAAACAAGATAATACGTACCAAGTATGAGCGACGGGCAAAACAAAGCAAGATGGGTATCTGGGTATCTGAGTATCTGAGTATCTGGGTATCTTTGGTCTTTGGAGTATCACGCGTTGGTATTACGAAGAATGTAAGAGTAGTCTCGTCGTTAATTGAGCCGTAGCATCATTCACGACTTCACCAGAATAATGAAATTAAGTTTGACTTTATTTTTGGAAGGAAGGGAAGGGAACTAGAGAAGTCGCTTGCCCACCTACCGCAACCCCCTACCTATATAAACTTGAGGAATGGGAAATCAAGCTTCAACTCGAGTAGCAAGCATGACGTACGGGAAGACAGGGACCCTTGAAACTACTACTTGTAGTAACCTTACCAACACTAAAAATGCACACGATCTGTGATTTACCCCGCACTCACAACCAGCTAACCTTAACAAACTCAAGCGATCCTATCATTCGTTCAATTCGAAACTTGGATTATCGTCCTCACACGAGGATTGGTCTAACGAGGTGACTGAGGAGCTGAGGTGGTCGAGTATCAATGATTTTCACTGGCAATGTGATACAATACTGGGCGGAGCGAGATGCGGTGGCCAATTGAGAAAAAGGAAACACGCGGAAGGATACTACTAACAAGGTGCCTACTGTACCAGTACATGCACATGGAAGATACTCCATGTGCTACTGAGTATATGCAATTGTGGAATTCCCGTTGCATAATACCATTGAAAACTTGTCCATTCACGGGTCAGCCTTTTGAGTTGTGCTCGAGTTTGACAAATGTAGCAGTTTGGCTGTCTGACAATCATCAACTAGACATTCTGTCTATTCCATCAATACTCTAGACGGTACTAGACATGTACACATTCACCCTGACTGACTAACCGACGAATTGACTGGAAGTATTGGTATAAAATATGAATCTTTTCAAGTGACTTGATATATGTAGTAACGATGGCCAACTCGACAAAATTCCGAGTCAATCTCGGATACAAGTAGGTGCTGATAAAGGGGGAGAGAGATCATCGATGGACTTATTATACCGGAGCAAACCTTCCATCATGTATGTAGTTGGCTTGTATAGGAAAGTACCTCTCGTGACATGATTACAGGATTATAAATATCTAAATATACATCTTCTACATGTAATACCTTCGGACACCATGCGAGTTACATGTTTCACCATATAAGACCTTACAATGTTGGTTATTTGTCTTGCCTACCTGATATGAGTGATTTCGTTTCGTATATTTAATAACATTGAACACCGGAATACACTTTCCAAAATCGATTTTCCATAAACTCGAGATCACCACATTATAAATCAATTGAGGCTTGGTCATAAAAAGTAGAAAGTTAAAAGCAACCTTGGAATTATGAAGTTCAAAAATATAGTCAGCTCAAAAAGCGTGACACCAGCCACATTGTTTTATTCGGATTAATCCTTGGATTGTCTAAGGTTATCACCAGCTCCATCCATTCAGGTAACCGATATCCCTATATCGTGCACGTCCCTGTATCATACACGTTTTTAAACTCATTTTATGATAACTTCAATATTTAATAATAAATATATTCAATAAGATATAAAGCTATAAGTTGTTTAAGAGTATAATAAGATATAATAGATTAGAAAAGAAGATTTAAAACTTCCTTATTTAAATCTTATAGGAATCTTAATCTATTAGCCTCGTTTTGACTATATAATCCCTTTTTCTTCTTTTATTATTGATTTATTTATTATTATTATATTAAAGAGCTCTATAGTTTTCTTAAATATTAGATTTATAATATATAAATCTTTTTGAAGCTTTAAATCTCTTTTAATAGAAAATCCTATTGATTTATAAACTCTTTTAATCTTTTTTTTAATATTTCTTATAAGTTAATAATCCATTTTCCTTTATACTACTCTTTTTTTAGTTTTAATTATCTTCTTTTCCTTTTTAGCTTTCTTATTAGCCTTTTTCTATATCTTAACTTCCTTTTTTTGCTTTATAATAAACATTTTCTCTAATTGAAAAAATTTTAGTTTTTTTAATCTAAAAAAAAAAATATAAAAAAGCATTATTAGTTTCCTTTTTTATAAAATTTAAATACTTAAAATAAATTCTTTTCTTCTTTTTATCTTTAGAGCCTTTTCTAGATCTTTTGCTCTATACAATTGAATATTAACTTTAATTATATTAGCAAAGACAGCTTTAAAAAGCTTCGAAGTAATCTCGAAGTTCTGATTTTGTTAAAATTCTAATTTAAATTGATATAAAGCTTTTGATATATATAGTGTTTTAAATTTATTTTTTATAAACTACATCAATATAAATAATATAATAACTTTTTCTAACTTTATACTAAATATAATAGCCTTTTTTTTAAATAAATAAATACCCGCTTTTTCGAAGGATTATAATATATTATAAAAAGTTGTAAATTAAGCCCAAACTACTTTAAAGATAGCCCAAAAGTTATATTTCGATATACTAATTAAATCTTTGCTTTTATATATCCAATTGTTGAGTTCTATACTATAATTTATCAAAAAGAAAAGGAAATAGCTTATATCGAATAGTTGTAGTCAATATATAAAATGGGGAGATAGAATCAACAATATAATCTTTAATTCATTATATTTTGATATAAATTCCATATTGATATAACTAAAATAATTATCTATAATCAATAGCTGATATTCTTTATCTGTTTTTAGATATATATAGTATTGAAAGATTTTTATAAACCAATTAAATCTAAAAGTATTAGATAACCACTTATTGCTTAAAGCTTCGAAATAAGCTTGATTTTTTATATCTATCTTATCAATCTATATATTTTGTAAATCGCCTGATTTTCCTTTATAGATTAAAGTAAATAGTAGAGCTGTATTGTTGGTAGTTATATATACTAAAAGAGTAATAAACTCTTTTGATTCGTTTTATTTAGTTTTTATAACTTTATTTCTTTTATATATACTAATATTTATTATCCTCTTCATAATTCTTTCAAAATCAATTAGGAACCCTTTCTTATTTTAATTATATATGTTTTTCAATACAATATTATATTTTATAATTACTTTTATTAATTAAATAAATAAAAAAAAAGATTAGTAAAAGTTTTTTTAAATAATATAAATCAATAATAATATAAAATAATATTAATAAGATTATAAAAATATTTAAATATATTTACATTATTAACCTTGATATACAAATTATCAATATAATGAAAATATTAACTTTAAATATAACTTTTATATTATTTAACAAAATTGACTATTCAGTTTTTCTCTATAAAATATTCTTTTATTTTTTCTACTAAATTCCTAATTATAATATTTATAGAAAGTATAAATCTTTATATTAATTTATTAATCTGATTTAATAAAACTTTTTCCTATTCTAATAAAAGATATTGATATATATTAATATAGCCTATCTTACAAAAGATAGTTTTATCTTTATACCGTTTTGAGAGTATAATATAATCGATTCTATATAAATAAGCTATCTAGATATATTTAGAATATTCTTGGCTTTTAATATAATTTAGTATAAGCTCTATACAACTTTCTGAAGATATATTATTGTGATATTTAAATAGTGATATTAATGTTTTTGAAAGCTAAAAAAGCGTGCACGATACAGGGACGTGCACGATGTAGGGATATCGGTTACCGAAGCTCTTATCAACATATCTCGTACACCGAATTACAACATAACATCAAACATTCCGAACATCCATCATGAAGCTCACAAACTTGTCACTCTTGGCTCTATCGGCATCTCTTGCATCGGCAAGATTTGTTGAACAACACGAAAAGGATCAAGTTATCCTAAACTCTAATGTCGTGGATAATGAGCGTTATCTGATCGAGATCGCCCCTGGCAAACAACAATGGGTTACAGAAGAAGAGAAATGGGAATTAAGAAGAGTATGTCCACTGTGCAACCCAGAGAAGCTTTAGCTGATATCGCGAAGAATGGACAGAACTTTATGGATATTACGGAAACTCCAGAACTTGGTACCTTCAAGGCTTCATCGGTCAAGGCGAAGTTTCCATCAAAGCCAACCCTTCAGAAAGACCTCAAACCGCTACTTAAAGACTTGAATAAGTCTAATATGCATGAGAACCTTAAGACCTTCACTAGTTTCCACACCAGATATTACAAGTCCGACTATGGTCGTCAGTCCTCAGAATGGCTCTTGGAGCAAGTACAAGGGTTGATCAAGGATGCTGGAGCCGATAAATACGGAGCCAACGCTCGTCATTTCAAACATTCATGGGGACAAAATAGTATCATTGCTACAATTCCTGGACAGAAGAACTCGACCGTTGTTGTAGGCGCACATCAGGACTCTATAAACCTCTTCTTACCTTCTATTCTATCTGCCCCCGGAGCTGATGATGATGGAAGTGGAACTGTGACTATTCTCGAAACCCTTCGTGTATTGCTTACATCCAAGGATGTCATTGAAGGAAAGGGAGAGAACACTGTTGAATTTCACTGGTAGCTGACCCTCTTCTTATTATACCAACCCAATCGATCAGTCGCCTTGAATTCACATGCATGATTCTAACATCTAATCAGGTACTCGGCTGAAGAAGGTGGTTTGCTCGGCAGTCAAGCCATTTTCTCCGAATATGAGAAGACTGGTCGAGATATCAAGGCAATGCTTCAACAGGATATGACCGGATACACCCAAAAGACTTTGGATGCTGGAGAGCCAGAGAGTGTTGGTGTGATCACCGATTTTGTCGACCCTGATTTGACGGATTTTATCAAAAAGATCGTTACCGAGGTAAGTTGCTTACAATAAGCATTGGGAGTCATAGTTTCTTGTTTCTCTGCTTACACGATTTTAGTATTGTGATATTCCATATGTCGAAACAAAGTGTGGTTATGCATGCTCTGACCATGCTAGCGCTTCAAAGGCTGGATACGCCTCTGCTTTCGTCATCGAGAGCGACTTCAAGTATTCCGATAATCATATCCATACTTCGGACGACTCCATCAAGTACTTGAACTTTGACCACATGCTTCAGCATGCTCGTTTGACTCTTGGTTTGGTTTATGAGCTTGCATTTGCAAAGCTATGAGTGGCTTTGTATAGTATGATTGGTTGCTTCACACGTCATCAGGAATGAATATATTGGATTTTTAGTATTTACAAGAGAATTTGGAAGGTATTATATTGGGTGGAAGCATCTATCAGTAATCTGTATGGAATATCTGGTGGCTGTAAGATTTACATGTGTTATGCATTGAGATTATGCAAGATATATATCAGGGTCAGAGGTGCAGGTGGCTTCAATTCAATTACCTAATTATCCAGAAAATGAATCAAGAAACCAAATGATTCATTCGACGGTTGAAGTCCTTGAAACACGGTACCGTATTCCTACATTGCTCTCTCTGTAGGGACCTTCAAATCGACCAATTCCTAATCTTCTACACACCGCGTTCGATGATGGCACGATTCAATTGATTCATGCATGATTGGTTCAAAGTGGATTACCCTGTGCGGCCGTGCCTTATCGGACGTCAGCCATCACTTCCTTACTAGTCTGGTAGATAGGTATCCATATGACTCCTATCCGATCAATCAACCAGCAAGTATCTCTCTTCTGCTGCGTGTATACTTAGCAGTTAGATAGGCAGTTCTTCTTCTTTTTAACAGCTCGTTCATCCGGATACCTGTCATCTTCAGAACTTCATCTTTACACTATCCCTTCCCATCTTCAATCAGACAAATTAAGATATTACTTTGCTCAATTCCTTATCTTGAATCAAAATGGCAATCTATTCATCAGTCCCGCCACCCGCACAACAGGCGTCCGGTCTAGCAGGTCCAGATATCGAAGCCTGGACGGTCTCTGCTTTAGAATCACTCAATGTTTCTCCCACTGCTCGCGGTACTGGAGTTACACTCTCCATTCCCCTCGAACATGATGAGCTTCCCAAAGACGTGACACCCTCAAGGCATATTGCCTACAAACCTCGCAAAGAACTTTTGAAACGCGATAGCCAAAAACACAGAGAGACATTGCTGAGGGGAAAGGAGGGCAGTCGTAGACGCCAAAGATGGGAGAACGGTGAGTGCTATTGATGAATGGTGATGTGAAATTGAAGTTGCCACTCATTTGGCATTTCGATCTCAACCATCAAAGCATGCCTTGTCACACAACGCGATACTCGGGAAATTCGGAAGACCGAGTGCGAATGACATTGATTGCTGATTTGAATTGCATTCGCAGATCATCTTCTCCATGTTCCAAATGCCCAACCACCACTTCCAAGTGACTGGGAAGTTCGCCCGACCTACCCCGTTCATCACGTACCATATTACTTGGCTCCTTTGTGGGATGCGGGTGTTCGTCACCGAGCTGAGGAAATTGCTGCTGAAAAGAAATTGGATAAAGCAAGAAAATCTGGCAGCTGTGAGGAGAGAGGTCGTGTCCCGCAAGATTTAAGGCAGAAGCTCAAGAAAAGCAAGGGAGCTAAGAGCCTTTTGCAAGACTTGGAGGAGGAGGTGAGAAAATTCGTGCAAGAGTATGAAGGAAAGCAGAAAATCCTAGGACGGATGAAGGAAGATGAAATGGATAGTGAGGATGAAGAGATTGTGTTCATTGGAAGGAATGGCACAATGAGTGATGAACAACGGAATCTAGTGGAAGAAGAGTTACAAAGAGAAAAACTAGTCTTCGATTCTTTAGCTGACGATACAGGGGCAAGCTTTGGGTATGTTATATTCCTGATCGTTTGAGAGTTCATGCTAACATTCTTATAGACGCTGGCTTGTCCATTCGATTGCATCTTACTACGGTCTCACTTCTCGATCTATCACAGTTGGCGATCCCGCTCGTCGCGAGGCCTATGTCGGTATAAAGGAAATGGGCACAGGTGGACAGATTTCTCGTCTTCAATCAGACCTCCCCCGTCCCTTGTGGGGAATGATCTGATTGTGGAGGTTTGATATTCTACCTTGGCAGATCTATGCCAATACTCTTTTCTGCTCCGGTTATCAGTGCCACACTGTGAGCTCATTTTTCGTCTTTTTACATTACTCGATTTTGCATAGCTATTAGATCAGTAGATGATAGATCTAATCATTATATTTAATTCGTTGAAGCTATTTGATATTCCGATTTATTACTCCATAGATTTATCACATTCAAACTGTATTATCATTCATTGACATCAACAATAAATGCTTCACTCAGAATGAGTTCCGACAAGTGTGTTGATAGGACCAGTAGTAATGTCAATATAGCAGTACTGTTTGTATGTAGTGATATCAATTACTCCAAGCCTAGTCAGGGCGTGCGCTGTCTCATCTCTCGAGCGTGTGAGCGTGAGCGTGAGCGTGTCTACGGATTTATCTATTCTCGAGTCAAGTTCACGAGTTTCAGCCTCTGGTCACACATCCGAGGTATCCCTTCCGATGAAACCCCCACTATAAGTTATTCAGATCCCGTACTAATTCCGCGAACATATCTCTGGAGAGGGTTTAAAAGTACGATCAAGAATTTATAAATCCACCAGAAACCCAGATATATATTTTCCTTTGCCCTTTCTTTTACTACAGCATGCGCATATAGATTTTTTTTCGTAAGCGGCGCATCTTGCAATTTACAGTCATTATGAAACTACGAAATACATCGGCGCGATCCTTCCGACTCTTATCCGCGAATTCTAGAAGTACATATAAAGGTTCAAGGAATTGGATATGTATGAATCGCTGTGAACTCAGCAGCGGAAATGGAAGGAGATATATCTCTGCGATCGCATTGGGACCAAGGAAAGCAGCCTCAAACTTAGATGCTGCTTCATTAACACCAAGACGTTTACTGGCCCTTCCCGCATCTTTCATCGCAGGGCAGCGAAGGTCTTTGGCAACTGTGCAAAATGGTACATAATCATTCTCGCCAACAGAAAACATTTGCTAAAATTGCTGCAGAAAATCCGGATGATCGAGGACCTATGAAGGAATACAATGCGCGCGTTGCATCGGGACAATTGAGGGACGATGAACACCAGAGAGGTCAGCAACATATATGCATATTCACTTCCCGTAACAAAGTCTGACGAACTATGCTTCTAGGCATTATACAGAATCTTCAACATCTCCACGACGAATTGCGATATTATAATGCGCCTGCGATTGTTCACCCAACCCTCGAATCTCTTCAACCTCGGCCAACTTCCATGTTTGGACGTATATTTGGAAACAAACCCAAGGAATCGGCCTTGAAGGAAATACCAGAGAACCTTCCTCGAGGACTTTATTTATATGGAGATGTAGGAAGTGGAAAGACTATGTTGATGGACATGTTTTATGAGACACTGCCAAGTAGTGTAGCATCGAAAACGAGGATCCATTTCCACAATTTTATGCAGGATGTTCATAAGAGGTTACACAAAATGAAAATGCAGTACGGAAATGATATTGATGCTGTACCTTTTGTGGCAGCGGATATTGCGGAAAAGGGAAATGTGCTGTGCTTTGATGAATTTCAATGCACAGATGTGGCGGATGCGATGATCTTGAGAAGGTATTGTCCCCTTTTTTCTTTGACTTGATTTTTGTTCCTCTGCTTATCTTTCATAGACTTCTGGAATCTTTGATGTCCCATGGAGTCGTTCTTGTCACAACCTCGAATCGTCATCCGGATGACCTTTACCGTAACGGTATTCAAAGAGAATCTTTCATTCCTTGTATCAATCTCCTCAAGTCCCGCCTCCACGTAATCAACCTCGACAGTCCCACAGATTACCGAAAGATTCCTCGTCCTCCTTCCGGCGTCTATCATTGTCCTCTAGACGCTCACGCGCCTACTCATGCGGAAAAATGGTTCCGTTTTCTTGGTGACCCTGAACAATCTACCCCTCATTCAGAAACTCAACATGTCTGGGGTCGGGCAATTCACGTTCCGAAAGTTAGTGGTAAAGCCGCTATGTTTACTTTTGATGAGTTGATTGGAAAACCTACTAGCGCAGCGGACTACATTGAACTTATGCGAAGCTACGACGCATTTATTGTTACGAATGTTCCCGGGATGACACATCAACAACGTGATCTCGCTCGTCGTTTTATCACGTTCATCGATGCAGTCTATGAATCTCGTGCCAAGCTTGTCTTGACGACTGCAGTACCGTTGACGCAGTTATTTTTGTCGAAAGAAGAAATTCAAGATAGCATGAAGAAAGAAGTGGAGGATAAGAAAGGGCAGAAAGAAGGTAATGAAGGAGAAGAACTTGATGATGCAATGAGAATGATGATGGATGATCTGGGGATGAATATGAATATGTTGAAGAATAGTAGCATCTTTAGTGGAGATGAAGAAAGATTCGCGTTTGCGAGAGCGCTGAGTCGATTGAGTGAGATGGGGAGTCAGCAGTGGGTAGAGAGGGGTATGGGGTTAGAGAAAGATGGGGGGAAGAAGGAGAAGGAGGGTTGGCAGAAGGTGAGGAGTAAGAGGTTGGAGGATAGTATGTAGTGGGAGTATGTTTGGAGTGGCTCACAAGCTGGAGTCGATGTTGATGTTGATGTTGCGCGAGATACCAATGATTTGCTGTTTAGATGATGATAGGAGGGGTGGGAGGTGGATATGATCTATAGATGAATGGTTGGATAGTTGGAGAGTTGAAGAGATTCAGAAAGAGAGAGAGGAGAGAGAGAGAGAGAGAGAGAGAGAGAGAGAGAGATTTTGTCATCTCTTCTTTGGAATACCAATATATATAGTATATACAAACAAGCCCAACAGATCGATCGAAATATACCCACATGCCAATCAGTCAATTCAAGCATATTATTAGCCTAGTAACACTCATGATAATGAGCCAGGTGAAAAAATACATAACTCTCTCACAAAAGAAATAAGCGAGCTCATTGGGTGGGAAGGGGTATCTTTTTTGTATCCCCCTCTTTTCTGTTTTTGCGAGCCTTCTCCCTCCCATTCCCGTCTAATATTACAAAGCCCCAGTGTTGAATAGAATTTCTAGCTGAGCTGAGTGCGTAAATGGAAGTAGGTATCTATTTTTGATAATCTTGTCGTCTCTGATTCGGATCTGTGTATTCTTCTGCGTATTGCGATTGCGATTGCGATTGCGATTGCGATTTGTGTGAGTGTTATGAGTGTGGTTTTGAGGAGATATTGGGAAGAGAGAGAGAATTGTAGAATGTGGAATGCGATATGCGGTATGCGGTATGTGGAATAGGATTAGGATTAGTATTAGTATTTCTTTACCTCCAGTTGTGGATTTCTGATACGGGTGTGATGTGTGGAAAGGAATGGGATGGGATGGGATGGGATGGATTGGAGTAGTTGAGATGTATGTATATCGGCTTTCTTGTTTGTGTGATGTGATGTGTGATCATACATGATGTGTGATATATAATATCTAGTATCTAATCACATATTCTCGCATCTCGTATTGGGACTCGGGCATATATATCAAAAAAAAGAAAGAAAAAAAAATCTTTCTTTTTTTCTGATTGTAAGATTTTTGTACGACAATATTGTACGTCGCTGTGAAATTCGTGCATGGGGAGTTTCGAGTCTAGAAATTCTGAGTAGGTAGGTCGGGAGTTGTAGTTGTAGGTGTGCGTTCTAATTATTGGTACGATGTTAGCTATATAGATTGTTCGAGGAATGAATGAATGAATGAATAGGTTTAGATTTTTGGAATAGCTGATTTTGAGTTTGTGGGAGATGTGATGTGATGAAGTGCAGTTGAGTAGAGATTTGGAGATTCGTAATTCTAGAGGGTGAGAGATGGTGAGATGGAAATGGATATGGATAGGGGTAAGATACTTACTTTGCTATTTCAACCTTCTCTCCGTGCTGAGTTTGAACTTTGCTATTGCTATTGCTATGGTGGAAGTTCGAACTATCAAATACAAACACAAAGATGTGGATGTTTATTGAGCATTCTGGATCAAGGGAACTGTAAGAATCTCGAGGGATTTACGGATAGGGACAAGAAGTTGATGGACTTCTAATGTTCCCATAGTGTACGAGTACGTGTTTATGGGAAGATACGACAGATTTACGATTGTGTAAATTTATCTTATTGATTAATAGTGAATATCAACGATGCTGTGATCAACTTTCCAATTCCTCATTCCATCCCCCTTTCTTCAAATCCACCACCCACCCATTCACATCTCCATCTCATCCCTCACACCCTCCACGACCCCAACAAATAATTCTGCACACCCCTCAAAACCACCTCCTCAAGCTCAAACCCCGTCATCCCATTAAACACTCCACAAAACGTTCCCGGCGTAATCTCCACCCCCGTCCTCACCGCCTCCTTCTTCAACACTCTCCTGATCCGCGCTGTATGTCTCTCATCATGCGCTCTCATCCTCCCCGCCACAACGGGAACAACATATTTTTTAAACCTGCGCAAGCTAAGTTTCACACCAAGATGCAGATTAAAAATTTCCAGCGCATGACTCCATCCGCATGCTCCAAAATATATATGCGGGAGTACCGTAGAAAACATTTCCGCAAGCTGCGAGGATAGTTCCTCCTCACATTCTCTATCTTGATGCATCTGCATCTCCCTCTCTGCAATTTCACAAAAAGATTCTGTCAGAAGCAGAACATTCCTCTCAAACCCATCTCCTAGTTTAAAAACCTCCGCTTGTCGCATCAAGATTGAAAAATTCCCAAAACTCATCACGGAACCCACATCCTGGAATTTCATCCACGCATCTCTCATCGTCGCACCCGCATGCCAGATTTGCGCCAGAAGTGCATAGAGAAGTATGAATGACGGAGCGCTGTTTGTGGCGGTTTTTCCTTGCTCCAGGGCGATGATATCTATTGCTCTTTGGAGAGTTTCGAAATCATATTGGGGGAAAGATTTTTCGAGGGCGTTGAAGAAGGTTTTGAAGGTGTCGGATTCGGATTGTGATGATTCGTTGTTGGTGTGGAGGAACGGGAGAGTTTTATCGGGATGCAGATGGGGATAGTGTTCGTGACAATTGAGAAATGTGGTGATCGTTTCAATTTCGGGAGTTCGGTGGGCTTTGGCGAGACCGTTCCAGTCGATTGTGCTTTTCAAAAATAGGTTTTGCGTGGTTGAGTAGCTGGTGTAGATGGTGAGATGAGGTTGGTTTTCTTCGAGTGAGTCTTCTGGGTCTTCTGGGTTGTGATTTTTCTCTGAAGTTCTGAAGGATGATTCGTTGAGGACTCTTGAAGATTGTTCGGGAGAAAACTGGGACGTTTGATCGTGAGTGCTAGGGGTGATGTGATTGATAGGTGTATTGAGGAAGGTTACGTGTTTGGATATCCGATCGGGTTTTGAAGGAGAATGAGCTGTATCGGAAGGGTTTGTTCTTGAGAAGTTTTCAACTGCTTGTTTGGAGTTGGAGAGTCCTGCCATGGGTTTCAGAGTTTCAGGAAAACTATCCCCTGAACTTCCTACAGATGGACTCATATCGTCTTGATACATCTCTTGATGTAGTATAGAATCTTTCTGAAGATTTTCCTCTTAATCTTGAAATTATTTATAAGAAAAAAGAGAAACAAGAAGAAATTCGAAAGAAACCCAGTCGCGCCTTTTAAGCACATCAAACCCCAGTATCCAGTCATTTCAGAACCTTAACTCTCAGTTATAACAGTCCAGTATGCGAGCATCCAAAATATTTCCCATCTTTTCGAGTCATCACTATCAAGGAAATTTTGAAAAATATGTCCACAGTCATAACATCATCTGATTATGACACGTTCTTACTCGCTCAGATAAAAATCCTGATAGCGAGCTGCAATACAAATTCTTCTGCACATACTTGGAGAGTTTAGACAGTACACTTCTGAGATTCTCGAAGGATATGGGAAGTTTAAGATTGTGCTGAATGGTTCGTGGTTTCGTAAGATGGATCATATCTTGTATTGTGTTGTATATAATGCAAAAATGCCGTTGGGAGATTGAATAGATGGGCAAACGGTAGATAGATTGACTGATTTTGAAGTTCATATGATAGATGGAGAGAATGATCCTGCGAGAAAGTTCTTGGGATTTGATGCGTTTTTTTTGAACGCTGGTTCGACTGATGAGCTTCTCAGACCTCTTTATACTCGCGGTTTATGGGAAATATTGACTTTTCGTGAATATGTAAAATATAAAAGGAAAAATGTACAAGTATATGTGACTATGTGTATGGAGTCCCGCACTTGCAGAAAGATGTTGGACCAGTACACGAGAGTGAGTTGAGTTGCATTTTCATACCACACTAATAGTAAAAGAAAAACGTGAATATAGGTGGTAAGCTGGACATTGTGTATTCTATAGGAGAGAAATTTGTGATTATGGCAGTGCTGACCAATTCGTTGCCGCAGTTGCGACGTAAAAAGAGCTGAGAGTTCGAGGGAGCGGTGAATCACAGCATATAGGAAAGGAATAATTACATTGATTCTTTATTTGAGACTGACTATTAAGTGCGTTGCAGAGACATGTATATCATAGAAGCTGTCCCTCGTTCGAAAACATGAAGACGCGGAAATTTGAGAACCCTCATCCGATCAAGTCATTTTCCTTCCATACTCGTAGATATCCACAGCTTACAGAGTTGAGCATTCCCTCGTATCAGCTTCTCCATACTTGACACAGAGATACCGTAAAAAAGAAAATTCGTTACTTCGTGTATTGCCCTTCCATATAAGTTTGCCAATCCCGTGAAGATCATCATCCCACAGCTTCATGTATCATCCCTATGCCATACAACTTACAATATACCGCATAAACCTGGGGATGTAGGACAAATCGGAATTATTAGTACCAGTGTTATGAACACGACGGTGATTTCCTTAAGCCTAGTTACTTACAGCTCCTCTTCCTCTTCAACTTGCGAAAAGAAGGCATTGCATTTTCCACTTCCATAAATCAGCTTTGATTGAGTATTTGCCTCATCCAGTATTCTTTGTGCGAGTCTTTCTACAGCATTTCTCCTCTTGATTTTGGGGTCTTGAGTGCTTTGGGTCAGTGGTAGTAGCGGGGCTGGAGAAAAAGGCTCTTCGTGGATCCGAACCTGTGCTTGAGCTGGAGATGGACATAATTTCAAAACTGGCAAAGGCTTCTTTTGCATCAGTGGCGAAAATTCAGTGCGAGATGTTTGGAAACTTTCGCCCGAGTCTGATGTCTCCGATGTATTACCGCAAGTTGCAAAATGTCGTTCCCTAGTAGCAGAGTTGATAAAAAATGTTCCCGGGCAAGCTGCGCAAATGAATGCATGCTCGGCAGAATAATGTTGTGCAACAGCATCCGACGATTGGAAAGTTCTAGTACATTGAACACAGCCAAAGATTAATTTTGGCGAATGAGACTCAGCCATATGTGCTTTGAGTTCAGGATCCTTGTCCTTATCAAAGAATCCATCACACTTCTTGCATTTCACCATACTACACGAGAGATAATGAAGTGCAAATTCGAGGGGAGTTGTAGCTTTGTGACCACAATTTGACTTTGAACACTCTGGCTGAGGTCCGTGATCATTAGCCAAGTGATTTTTCCAAGTCGAGTCGCTTAAGAAACATGCCACCACATCTCTTGCAGGTGTTCTGACCATATTTGAGCATGTGGTGATCCATTGTAGCTTTCTCAGAGTCTGCTTCTTTGCGAGGGACAGAATCTGCTGGAATTGTCGGTTTATTATGTTCAAAAGCGTGTTTGCAGTATCATACCCACATTGCTGAACACCATTGTACACTTTGGGGCAGCAATGTCGATGAGCCTTTGCGTAGTGCAACTCGTATGCAGCAATACTGTCAAAGCTACCCTGGCAATCTGAACATACGACACGGTGCGAGAGTCTATGATCATCCAGAAGAGATGAAGTATCAAATCCCACGCCACATGTTGAACATGTATGCACATGTACGTTCTTGAAATGAATGCTTCGATCAGCCTCGCGCTTGAAATTGGCTGGACACGCGGTGCATTTGAAGCTGTGCCGAGACTCGTGGTTCTTGAGGGAAGCCCAGGTTTCAAACGGCGGAGCGGTGCAGTATTCGCATTGAAACGAGTGTTGTTGAGCCTTGTGTAAATGAAATTCAGCGGTGCGGTCGAATTTAGCGCGGCAGATGATGCATTGGATCACCTGATGTTCCGATTTCTGTGCAGGGAGAGATGATTTGGACCGTCAAATGTAAGATTGCACTGAGCGCATTTCCAATTATGTTCTGCCGCAATATGCAGCTGAAGGTCGCTATGTACGGGAAGGACTTGCTACACTTTGAACACCGGTAAAGATGAGCCGAAGAATTATTGTGCTGATCTAGTGCAGATTCCGATCTAAATTCTCTTTCGCAAGGTTCGCATTTGAAGTCGTGGTTAGCAGCCTCATGCTGGTCGAAAGCCTCTTTGGAACCGAATATTTGATCGCAGTCGTAGCAGAGGTAATTATGTACATCGTTATTATGTTGATCCCGAGCTTGGAGTGAAGTGAAGGTTCTATCGCAACCAAATCCACAGGGAAAGTAGTGGTGGGTTGCATTGTGGAGATCTAGAGCATCTTCGGCGTCAAATACTTGGTCGCATGGAAAACACCAGAACTCGTGTTTGTCTTCTGTATGTTGTTCGCGAGCACGTTCGCTGCCAAATGGCCTATAGCAATGCTCACAGACCCATGCTCGAGTGTGTTGATAAATAGTGCAGTGCAAAATCACCTCGCGCTTAGATCTGAAGGTGTCATCACAAGTCCAGCATGCGAATGACATTTTGGCTTTGTATGAGACAACACCGGGCTTGTGTAGCTTATGCGGAAGGACTTGCATCATTGTCAGTGTATGGCACAGCTATGAAGAGAATTGTGCGGACAAACCTGAATATCTGCAGAAGGTTAAAACCTTCTTTGTAGATTGGCTCCGATAAAGAGAATGATTCAATCAAAGCGAGGGTTGGTGGGATGCTGGTGTCAAATCCGAAGCACCAAACTGACCAAGTCTTGGTAATTTGATAGCCGCGAGATTGAATAGTGACTGATTTGATGACGGAAATACCTCACTTCCTTCACATGAGGATCACCGAATCACATAAGTGGAGGAGATGCGATCTGATTTAAAGATCGAGAACCTGAGAAAAGAAGGTAGATAGAAAGGACAGAGGTGAAATAAATGGAAGAAAGCCGAAAGAAGCAAAGAATCTTATCCCTACGGTTACCCACCTAATGAACGGAATGATAGCATGATAGAGAAGGCAGAATCACCCCAATGAGAAGCTTGATCAATCAACGATCGGGATGTATTAAAATAAATATTGTATTATAGAATTAAGATGAAAAAGGTTGATACAATGAAGAGAAATGAGCATTTAACGCGTTGTAAATTTCACCGGAATTGTTGTGATTGAGAATTGAAAGTGTTGGAATAATTGCAAAAGCTGGTGAAGGAAAAACCCGAGAAAGGATCATTTTCATTAGCGTGATTGGATTCGTCTCCTCCCCCCCTCCTCAAAGGTACACTTTCACTCCTGACAGGGAGAAATGGAGAGAGGGAAGAAATAAATGAGAGACTGACATCGGAAGCTTCAGTCACTTCCCCGGATGGATAATTCAATGAGTACCGTCTCAAATGTATTAACACTATATCACAAAGATGCACTAGGTGTACACCAAACAAACCTCAATTTGACACATGAGAGGGGGAGATCCGATTGGGGCGACTCCAGCAGCTTGCTTGAATAACTTTGAATCTGAAGCACATCGATGAGGAGTCTTCTGAATTCTCCTGAGAATCTCACTCAGACTTCACTTGCAGTTTTACCTCGCCACTTTTTACAGTTCTAGATTTGATATAGCCAAGGCCAATAAGCGTATCTCGCCTACCTAATTGAGGAAATGTGAGCATCTTCATCGCCTCTACCTCTTCATACCTTCCTCTAACAGATTTCCCTCGAGGTCTATTACAAGATAAGTAGCTCGAGTTGATTTGCCAGGATATACTTGGCTATTTCCACGCCATTTAACTTTTGACTTTGCTACGGTTGAAGATAAATTGGCATACATAGTCGAAGCATCGGTGAGTCCTTGTTGATATTTGCAACTAGTAATCTCTACCCCGGCAACGGCAGGTACATGACTATTCGTGGAGATGCCGGCACTGCAAGCGACTTTGGGGTGTATGTATGTGATGCGTGTATGTATCGGCGTATGGTCATCAGATGAAGCGGAGTGCAAGTCTTCGAACCCAAGCCATGATTATCAATGGAGCGCAGTAAACCCTCATGCAAATGCCAATCCATTGGCAAGTGGAGGAGAGTGAGTCTTCGGCCAAGTCAGTATGCGAATAGTCTTTGCATCCCACTTTCGTAAGCAAGGCTAGCTATTCTTCGGGCAGATCCAAATCAATCACATGTGCAATCTGCGTGCTTGTACATCAGGTCAAGACTCAAGATCCGTTGGCCAGATCAATAAGTGGGAAGAACGAAACGTCTCCTTGGTCGGCAGAAAAGAAGACTTCGCATAAGGGTCGATCATTCTCTTCCGGCGAGAAGACATGAATGATATGATGTTGAATGGAGCATCCGCAAGGGGCCGGAGTCTAATTACCGCGAGATCGTAAGATCTTACAAAGTACGGTAACCGAGATGTGTCCCTAGTCCGCCTATCAGGGGCTATGTAATTGATGCCAAGTAGATACCCTCGAGAAGCCCAAGGATTGATCTTGAAAAAAGCAACCCAAGAATACTCTTCATATCTAATGTTATGCAGACTAGCTTTATATTTCATTTTAAGATGAAACAAATGGTGTCATATACAATCATTGAGCACCCGTTCTTTCATTATTTATTCAAAACTTAACTTTGACAGGCGGAGAATAGACTTGATTCAGACCTGCAGATTGCTTATCTCAACCATGCTCGAGCAATTCTATCCTCCTTGCACCTCTGCCGGCCGTGCAGGAAGAGGGCATCTGCCGGCGAGGCATTCCCCCGATTCGAGCGATCATTGGGCATCTGCCAATACCTGGATCATGGCAGGCATAATGCCATGCCATGTACGAGCTTGAATCAAAGTGAACCTTAATAGAGCACCAGCAGATTTGGATCGGCTTCCACTCGTTATTTCCGAAGCATCCTTATATCGCACAAAATCGTTTCCAAGCCTTCGATTCTTCAGAAGAGGCTTGGGGTTCAACTCAACTTTCTTGCACAGCCCACAACGTCACCGCGGCTTTTCAAGGAAGGGTTACACCAAGCACGATAGACGATGACCTGATGGCTTGCGGGGAGATATGACACATCTCAGACGAACAATACACTCAAGGGTGGTTTGCGGGAATAAGAACCGCATTGGGAATCTCTCCATACGGCACGCTCCGAATGCATGCCGCGACTGATGACGGTCTGGCGGGATCAAGGCTGAAGGGTGCTTACTCTAAGATGTGATGCTGAGAAATAGAACATACTAGTGCAAGGTGACATAGGTTTGCAAGCCAAAAAGTGGATATTTGGACATGGTAATCTATTTAAGGTTGGAGGTAGCCACTTTGTGGTAATTTTACCGGACACTTACTGGCGAGAGGTGCGGTAGCAGCAAGCCTCGCAAGCAATACATTCTATAGGTCAAAGCCAGTTAAAATTTCTCGCAATCACTGAAGATAAATTGGACGGTTTGAACGGAGTTTTGATTAAGGGTTTATCGTTCCAATTTAGGATTGCGGAGGTTCCGGATCCTACAGGTTAGTCTCTCCCGGGCAAGGGATACACAGGCAGGAGGGTTTTAAGGTCAGTGCCATCACTGATCGACTGCTACTCCTTGTTGGGCAGGAGGGGCAAGCAGAGAAACAGAGTTTCTTAGGGTTTAGATCACTTTCTGCTCGCATGGGTAACTTGCTTTCATATGTGGTAGCGAATCTATAATTGGGGGGAGTTCTCAACTTTCTCATGCAACAGCTGTCTCATACAGTCGAAAATCGTTTATTGGACGTGCGCTTGAACTTTAAACGTTCACAGGCGTGATAGGTAGGCCTTCACCTGTGATCTTGGTCAATGCGGCCACGCTTTTTAAGCTGCTGACCAGGGTCCAGGCATCTTGTTATTGTATTCCGTCGATATATACTATTTTGTTCAAATATACATTGGGTCGCCGCCGTTGGTTGAACATTCTTCCGTCTACTCAAGCATGTCTGGTAATGTCCACCCTTCGACACGCGGTGTCCACTCGAGTTTTCAGTCAGATTCCACTTCCGACTCAGCAAATATGGACGCCGAAGCTTCAATCCCTCGGAAAAGCAGCCTGGCCACGCCAGCTTCCTCTTTTGTTTGTAGTCAGTGTCCTAAATCGTTCAATAGGCGCGAGAATTTGAGTCGTCACATGAAAACCCGTAAGTGAGCATAGATTAGAATGAACCTCGGACACTAAAAAGCTTATCCACCGCTAACAAAATAACCTCATAGACGATGTTCCTCGGACTCACATTTGTCAAATATGCGAAAAGACTTTTACTCGGAGTGATTTACTAAAAAGGCATGAAGCCGGCCATGAACGATGGGACAAAAAAGAACCAAAGTCTGAAGGCCGAAGAGGATCGGTGAAGCGAAGGAAGACTTCTGAAGATCCGGAAAGCCACGACAACCTTGAAAAGTTCAATTGGACGCCTACAAGTCGATCAGAATCAGCTCATTTATCTCCAATGCAAAGTGGTCCATCATTTCCGACGGAAACGGTAACGGCAAATTACTCAACTTCTTTTCAAGAGCCTACTGGGATAAATATACCGTTCCTCGAAGCGGCACCTAGATCATTTGGGGCAGGCCAACAACTAAATATCAACAACAATGTACCCCAATCAATGCCGGTACTTGGTTTCTTACCCCAGGAGACGCATTCTTTCACGCAGCAATATCGAGATCCATACCAAGACACAACACTAGACCACCAGTTTCCTACGAATCCTCTTGGTGTAATGGGATATTCTTATCAGATACCCTTCAGTCATACTTCCTATTTGCAACCGGAGAACAACCCATTGGGAAATGCGTGGGTTTCTAACGACTTATATGCTACCATGGTTGGAACTGGAAACGAATGGGAAAATACTGGAAAGCTTTTCAATCAAAATGTTCCCGTCTCAGATTCTATACAGCAACATTTTAGTAATATTAAACTGGACAATTCAGGTCCAACTTCTACAATGCCAGCTAGCGAGCCTCATTTTGAATACCGTCAACCCAAAAATGATATATTGGAATCTGGGCCAACACAATCTGCAAGCGTTTTTTCACCCCCAAATTTACCCTGGAGTGAAGATAAATGGCCTTCATCGTGGAATCCGAGCTTAGATCCAACTGCAATTTTGGAAGCTGATCCAATTGATCTACCATTTGATCATCCTCTATTTCAAGACCACAACCCAAGATACGATATTTCAGAGTCGACATATTACAAAATGCGAGATTTCTTGATATCTCCCGTTCATGAAGTTCCTCACAGAAAACCACTTTTTACAATGCCACCATTATTTGTTGTCAATATCTTTATTGGCCTTTACTTTAAGCATTTCTCAAATCAAGTACCTGTACTGCATCACCCGACCGTGGATACCAATCAACTTTCTCCCCCATTGTTATCTGCCATGATGATTATTGGATCTACTTACAGCCATGTTAAGAATGGAAGACGACTAGCCATCGTTTTGATTGAAGTTATCGGTTGGCATTTGCTCGCCGCCATTCGTCTAGACATGAGCTTAATTCGAAATCCTATGACAATTTTTACCGAAGCCTTACTCATCCATATGGGACTATGGTGTGGGAACAAGCGTGCATTCAGCGTATCCGAGTCTTTCAAAGGGCATGCTGTTTCCCATATGCGTCGTTTATACGAAAGTGAAAAGTCGAATTTGCCAAATAGATATTCTTCTGCGGACCAAACATTGAAAGATCCCCAAGTTCAATGGAAACGATGGATCGACGAGGAATCTCTTAATAGGCTTTACTGGGTTGTCTATGCAACTGATCGCCAATTCTCCGCGCTTTGGAACCAATCGTCAGCAATGACAATTGGCGAATTGGTAGATGTCAGCTGTCCTTGCGATGAAGTCTTTTGGTGTGCCTCTTCTGCCAGCGATTGGAATTTCACACTTGGATCTGCGAAAGTACCACAGTCTTTATCATTTGCAGCTGCTATAGGACCTTTTCTTTTTTCTCCCACTCCATCCTCGTCTATACCCTCCTCGGGTCATTTCTTGACAGGAGAGGAGCCCCACCACCTTCCATTGCCGAATCTTAATTCATATACCGCATTTCTTGTTCTCCTCGAAATTCAACGTCAGATATTTGATGCCTCACAAGAATCTCTAGTTGCTAGCAAATTCATCAACAGCCAAATCTCATCAGAAATCTACGAAAGTCCACCCAGTCATGATCCTGCTTCATCTCTTTCACAGGCCCTCAGATCCCGCGTTTCTGCGAGGAGACAAGAACTAGCCTGTACGTTGGTGTAACTATATATCCCATTTCCCCATACCGATAACTAAACTAATCGAAATCCAGACACGCTTAACCGCTTTTCCAAAACTTATTTACGGCCTCATTTGACTATCCCCCATTCCACATCGCATATTTTCCACCACATCTGTATTGTTCAACACCACATCACAAGTCTTTTCCTCCATATTCCTTTTACCGGTCTATTAAATGCGATTGGAAAATCGAGTCAGACGGGTATTGTGCGTGCTCTAGAAAGATTGAGATTATGGGCACAAGAAGATCCAGAATTGGCTATTGATGTAGCCGTCCGAGCCGCTACTGCAATCATGGAGTCAAACAGAGATCTTAATGCGGATGTGACAGGTCGAGAAAAAGGAAGCGAGGCACCCAATGGAACAAAAAGTGGCATGGTAGATACAGGAGTTTACGAGCCCTCGTTATTAATGATGACACATGTCATTCTTTGGGCTTTCGCACAAGTTGCGGATAAAAAGCAAAAAGATGGTCTGATGAAGAGACTGAGAGGAAACAAAAACACAGCAGATGACGCATTTTTGGAGATATTAGGAAGTGAATTGATGGATGAAGAGGATAGTGAGGAATTAAGTGGTAAGGGAAAGAATATAGACCCGGGAAGACCAAAAGTGAAAGGAGTGTCGAGATCGCTATTCAAAAGTGCAGCGGATACGCTGATGCGATTTGGCACTTGGGGAGTTGCGCTCGACATGGCGATGTTACTACGCTTCAGAGCGGAAGGTTAGGGTGGGGATAGAAAGAGGATGATGCTCAATTCAACCGGAATCTTCTGGTATGGATGTTGACTGTATATTATACAATTTAGACCAAATTTGGGTCGAGTGAAGCTATTTGACTTCTCTAACATCTCGAGGGTTCCTGGAAGACATTTTTCTACCTACCCTCGGTCATGTATTTTTATGTAGAAATATTTACCAAATGTATTATACAAAGTGTACCGATGACAAAAGTATGACACTCATTCTCTTGATTCCATCTGTTCGCCAAGTACTCTAACATTTACCCTCTTCACCATCCCCAAAATCCTAACACCCACCTCCCACCAACTCCCATCCCTTCATCCACCACAAACCCGTTCCGTTCCCACGTCCTCACCGCTACATCTCTCGCATACAAACACACTAATCCCTTCCACTCCGGCACCTTCCCTTTCTCCTCACTCAACGCCTCTTCCGAAAACCTCGGATTCTCCCCCGCCCATTTCAAAGCAGCCTGGATCAACAGATCTGCATACCCTTTCCCGCGATACTCCTTCAAAACAGCCAGTCGACCAAGCCGTACACAAGGCTCTATCCCATTGTGCAGAGTAGACGCAGGATTAACTCTATAAGTCGGAGAGGGCTGGAAAAAGAATGTTGAAGAGGGAGGGATTTCCTCGGTGGGAGATCCGGCAATAATGTGCGTGTTGGGGAGAGGACGGAGAGTATCTGGATAGGGGAGCAGCCGGAGTGTTCCTACTGGGATGGAGGGGTCTTGGGGATCTTCTGCGGGGGGACAAGGTGCGTAGATGACGAAATGCACGGAGCGCGCATCGTCGTTGTCGAGATGGTGGATCAGTGGGATGGCGCGTTGTTCCGAGACGTAGACGCGTTCGCGCACAGTGCAGGAGTCTTTGAAGATGGGGATGGGGGAGGTGGAGGGGTGCGGTTGGGAGGAGGCGGGGAGATGGCGATCCCAGGTGTGGAGGTGGCTGCGGGGGGGGGCATTGAAGTGGTTTGGGGTGGAGGTTGGAGTTTGAAGGGAGGGCGAGGAAGTGAGAGGGGATTTAATGGATGGTGGATAACGTCAGAATTGGAAATATAGAAATAGCACGTGGAAAACAGGTTAAAAAATGAGAGGTAGACAGAACAATTTATGCTAAATTGTTTCTCAGAATCATAATGAGTCATCCGGCCACTATCTGCGATTTGGAGGATGTGATATTGATAAGACGCGCAGCTTACTCTGTTATGGCATGCACTAGCATGCTTTAAATGTTAAAAACGTTCATCGAATCTAGGATGTCCAGAAGATCGAAAGAAAGTAATCGTTTGTAATTACAAAATGGACTGCTGTAATCTATAATGTTCTAATGAACGCTAATGTGCAAAGCTTCAGAATACCCTAACTCCTATCCTATGCATCCTATGCAATTCCTGTAAGTTATATCGTGGTATCACCCAAATGACTCGCATAAATCCCGTTCTCCAAATTAGAAACCCATATGTTAAAAGAAGATCATGCCTGAATAAGATCAGGCACAGCAGGTCCAACTCCCCTGAGCAAAACTATACGATTGCCGCTCACCAAAGCATCTCCAACCTTCTCGTTGAATTCTAAAAGTCTTCCAGCTTCTACATGAAAGATTCTAAGCTTGTCCTTCTCATCCATTCCCTGATTATTGACGTTTTCTACTTGAAGTGCCTTTGCCGCTGCGTCCAAAACCCGACCCATCACCCAATCTTTTGAATAGAAGAAAGCACCAGTAGGAAATTTCGAAGTCGTTGTCGCGGCTTCCGCGTCCACATTTATGTACACTCTCTTTTCTGGAGGTACCTTTGCATCTCCTTTTGCCGTCTTTTTGAGTTGGTTCACGGCTACCAATCTTGCAGCTGCGGATGAAGGTTTCGGCTCAGGTAGGACCCGAGTTGATGCAACCTTTGCTTTTTGTGCCGCTCCCCAAGCCCTTAATTTTCCAAAGGCCAATTTTGCACTTGTTTGTTGTTCATTAAATCTGCCGACTCTTGCACCTATGGGTACGAGGTTTTTACAATCGTGGTCTTCCCCTAATCGATGTTTAAGACAATAGTCCCGATTACAAATAGAGCAATGTACACCCGTTGATAAACTCGTTCCAATTGTCGTCTTGCAAGTCGGTGATGCGCATGGCTTTTCAACATCTGCCATCATTTTCCCTTCGCCCAAAGAACGTTTAGATTGATTAGCTAGCCGACGTCTGGCTGCCCATTCTCCAGGTTTTGAACAATGATGACTTGTTTCTGTACGATGGTCGAGACAAAATGTTCCGCGACATGATTCGCAACGAAAGGGGAGGAAATCTAGTTGATTGCAGTATTCGTATTGGCAATGTACACCAATTAATGTTGGGTCTTTTTCGTCCATGGTACTAAAGGACGTATCTTCTGGAGTTTCTGATCTTGATGAGGAGGCCATGATGAAGGATAGGAATATATAAACACCTCGAGTAGGCTTCCAATGTGTCGTACTATGGGCGGGGTTAAGATGTGTAGGTGTTAAGAAGGAAATGAATTAGTGACGATGGCGAGGCTGATTATGAATGCAAGTCTAGAGGCTTCTGGAATATAGCCTGGGTAAACGAAGCTAACGTTGCGTCAAGGCTTAGCGTCGGCCTTTAAACTTTCCGTGTATCAGAAAGGGATACGGAAAAACTATCGCTCTAGAGAACTGCTTGCGAGGACAACATTAAGTGGTGGTTTAAATATCCTTATGTAAACTATTCAAACGATCATTCAGTTGTTGTGCCAATGATTACTTCTTGACCTTGAAATCAGGAGGTTTGTTAGGTTTTCTTCAATAGCAGTGGAATATGGGTAGGATGGATCCAGAAATGGACCATATGAGGATGACCTGCAGGAGAGGAGGGGGCTCAGCCTCATCATGTGTTGAGTGCTGAAAACTTGCAAACGTTGATTTCTATCTCAAGAGTGGAAAATATTACGAAAAACCTTTTGCACGAACAAGCATTGATTACCAAGTCTTTATTTCATGTAATTGGGAAGCTTCCGAGGGTTAGATAGCCTGACGGGCTCACCATCATGGCTCTTGAAGTAATTGGTGGAATAGCGAGCATTCTTCAACTTGCCGGAACTGTCTACACGATCTCAAAAACCCTCTACGAAGTGGGGGAAGCTTTATCCAATGCCCCTTCCGATATCAAGGATTTAGCAAGAGACCTTGAAACCTTTTCAGATGAGCTTCATCTGTTATCCACATTACTTCACGGTAAAGATGGTCGCTATGCAGATCAGGTGTACAGGCTTACAGCTAAAATCATTGGGGATTGTGCGACGATATGCATGAAAATCGATCGAATCATCAGAAAGTTAAGAAGCGGTAGTGTTTTGGCAAAAATTAAATGGTTGTATAAAGAAAAGGAAATCATGAAGTTGTTGGCGAGACTTCGTGACTTAAAGTTAAGTCTGATGGGTACATTGAGTGTATTGAGTGCACTAAGAGCCGATAATATGATGGACTCTTTGGGTATAAAATAACCCCAGTTTGATTGGAGGCCCGAATGGACATGGTCTATCGACAGAGACACGCATGCAAGTGGAGGACACGAGACTGAAACTGGCAGGCATGTCGATGAAGGATACTACTGAAGCCTCTTCTGGGTCAAAACCTACGTTACCATCAAGCGCATCTTTAGTTTTGGGGGGCTCAAGCTCTACTTTAAGTACATCGGTTACATCGGCAACCTATGTTTGTCCCTCAACAGCTAGAATACCCAGTACAACCGATTTCTCTGCATCTTCATTCATTTCAATGGCAGTGGTGCCAAATAGCATGCCGCCAATCCTAAACACACAAGCAAACCAGTCTGTAGATTCCTTCCACAGCGCCTTATCACATCAAAATCAAGACTCGTTAGATGGCCGAATGAGTAAGTCTTTAAGGTTCAAGACCTGAGATCTGCAATATGTGATGCGGAAAGTCTTTTTTTTTTTTGAAAATGGGCTAACATGTCGAAATATTAGAAGTGGAGAGCTTCCCCAAGCCAGAAGATTCTAACCATGTACCTGTGATACCACAGTCTGTAATGGTATCAGATAGACATGACAAAGCTTCATTTTCGGTAGAAGAGAGCCGTCAACTAGATACTTCAATATCAAAAACTCTTAAGAGCTGGAGAAATGAAATGACTCTTTCAGCAATGAGGCATTTCAACATGAACGTCGAAGATGCTGAGGAATGGGCAAACAATTTGCCAATTCCGAGCAATCTTTCGGCAATCACGGAGCCTACCGGTCCAGCGGAAATTTTGTCACACCCACGAGTCGAAGACAAGCCTCAGGAAATAGGGAGAGCCAGACTTAAAGCGGGCTTTAAAGAAGACCCATCACCTTCGGATGCTAACCATCAATCACCCATCTTTACACCACCTGAAGCATTCCGCTACAGCTCTTCTGGGCAACACTCTCCTGTGTTTCTCGACCACAGTTTCATAGAGAGCGATAGTCCTAAGAGTCGAAATCATCAAACTAACACGGTGTTGGGTTCTTCAATGGGAGGGGAGACACATTTTGGCGATTTTTGCCATGATGGGCCTCGAACGGAGGAAGTCGATGGCTACGATGCATCTCCCGCTTATTCCCCAGCGAGCCCAGTCTACTATTCCATAGAAGCCGATAGCTCTCCAATACAGGCTGATAAAACTTTATTGTCTTTCACGGGAGGTAAAAAATGTCCGAACAGCTCCAAATTCATGGACGAGTCTGCGGTCGTCCGCGATTGGCTTCTTACAGATGAGAAGAAGATGACCTCGAGTTCACCCAAATCTACCGTGTTGAAAAGCAATGATGTCATAGAGAATCATGGTTACAATACTAATTTTACGGAACAAGCTATTTCATCCTCACAAGTTCAGTCAGATTTTGGTCCTGTTAATCTTGATATGCCAAGTGCACAAATTAGACACACTGCTATTCAACCCAAAAACCAGGATCTTTCAAAACGTGGGTCAAAAAGAAAACTAATATGTACATGTTTCTAGCTAATATGATCAGGTCTCCCTCAGAAGCTTGGGTTGACAAGTCAAGAAATGCAGCTCAGACTTCTCGAGGACCAAAATAATAGGAGATTAGAAATGGCAAAACGGGAGCAGCAAAATAGCTATCAACAATTTTTAGACAAATCTCACCAGGCAAACTTAAGGAGTGCGCTTCCCAAACTAGACATACCTGCCAATGAACTCGCGTACCAGGACTATCAGAGGCGAATTTTACTTATCGAGAAAGATAATAAAGAAAGGTTAACGATGACACAACAGAAGCAGCAGATTCGGAACTCGGTGTTACCATCAACTTCAGTGATACCAAATTGCCAGTCTGAGACATCCATAGTTAACGATAACTTCTTTGGTGGCAACCGATCCGCCGAGTTAAATCACTTTCCTTACTCAACATCCAACTTGTTTGGTATTCCGGCCCAGTTGAGACCTGTTGGCCTGAGATTTGCTCAATCTGAACATGTTAGTCAATTGAATAACCCTAGTTGTCCTACTCCAAGTGTTGTAACTCAGGTAAATCAAAACTTCACTGCGGCTCAAGCACTGGCTTCGCATGAAACTTCACAGCAACACCAAAAGCCGCAGTCGTCTACTCAACAAGCTCAACCAATCCAAATGCAACAACAGCAACTACAAAAGCATCAGCAGCAGCAGCAAATGGCTTCGTTGTCTCCCCCTCGACGTCTCGGAGTTACTGAAAGAGTTACTGGGGTAGATTTCGGACGCTGGCATAATGTTAATGCCTGCCAAAGCATGGAAATCTCGGCTACCATATCACCGGGACTCTATGAGCTTGGAACTGAAGATCTGTTACCCAAAAGAGAGCCTAAAGAGATTCACTTGCAAAGCCAAGTATCACAAGAAACCTGTAAAAGAGATAGACAGCCTTCTTATCCGTCTATATCACCTTTTGGCAAGAGCGTACGTCGCGGACGTATGGAATTGCCTCCAGATTATCCTAATGATATCTCGAGACAAGCTTTTAACTCATTAAAAAGTGATAAATCGAATAATATCTCTGCCTTCCATTTCCATAATGAAGTTTCTAACAAGGGCCCAGGCGGACTTTGGGTCAGAGGTTTCATAAATGTTAAGTCATTCGATGCTGTCATATGGAGTAATTTAAAACAGTACTTGAATCGAGAGCGCGTTGACACTACCTCAGAAGCAGGATCTGTTCCACTTTTTGCCAGTTTAGATTGGTCTGCAAGTCTCTACAAAGAGAGGATTGCTCTACTCCGTCAGATGTTTCCGCGTGCTGCTAGCTCTATCCAGAAAATACTTGATGTTCTAGCCGTGATGGAAGAGACAATCGGCCTTACAATTGGAGCTATCGCATGGGCATGTCTTCTGGGTGCCGTTGAGGTGTGTTGATCTAAATCAATCAAACAGTAGTAAGCTAATTAATTTTTACAGAACTTGCTTTCCCATAGTACAAACTGGACAGTTGATTACCAAATCAGGATTATCACAGAAATAAGCGAAATTGTTAGCATAATCGCTCGATATACCGTCATGGAGAATATATATACTCAGTGGACAGGAATGACTCTTGATAAAGACTACGAACAATCTCTTATCAACCTATCCACTCGAGTTTTGTTCTATTTCGGAGCTTTCGTTCCGAGTTTCTCAGAGAGTAGCACGAATGCCAATATGAAGCCCTATTTTGAGAAAATCATCGAAGCCGACACGGCATGTCGCGGGTTCACGGTTATCGTGAGCTCCAAGAGTACTGCCATCGATCGGAAACGCTCATTTGAGGATTCCTCGGATGATTCGGACGACACTGTCGATTCCGACGGGACCATCTTGGAAGTCGATGGTAATGATGAAGTGGATGACATGCTATCATCAGCAAAGCGCATTAAGATATAGAAATAGGAATTTGTTTGGAATTGTAAATTGATCATGAAATATATACCCTTATTTATGTTGTCATCATATTTCTTGCCTATATTTGTTGGTAATTTGCGTTCATTGTTTGCATCTTAAAATGAGAGTCCATGAAACTCGACATATGGAAGAGGTAGATCTAACATCACTCGTGGAGAAGAGCAAAATGAAGTCTTTGGTGAGCGACACTCGTTCATCAATTCGGCCAAGAGAATCTCAAGATCGAGATAAGTGCGATACACCAGGTATTCAGAACGATTGTCATTTTCTGCATAGTAGAATCTCGTATAAAATTCCCAAGAACATAGTTGGTCATTTCGAATTGATCCAAGCAATGACAAAAATGAACAAAGTATCGACTGTCCGATCGATAATTATGCTCACCCTTTATTTCCTCTCCATGCACGACTCTCCAAACTACTATCCTAGCCTGCAAATCCCAACACCCTCTTCAGTGACACCAATCTCGACCTCGCTTCCCTTGCCCTCACCCTTGTACAACTAACATAAACATCTTTATCCTCATGATTCCAAGCATAACATCCCAACTATTCAAACTCATCACTTAGCATTGTCTTCAAGATTCCACATCTCAATAATTAAGAGTATCAAGCGAAAGAAAATAAAACATACCATCCCCTCCTCCAAATCCTCATTCGGCACACACTGCCACATCTCCTTCGTCTCCTCCTTATTTGCTCCGAAATAATCTATGGGTCTTCGAAGCGTCTGTATAACTCCAGAGAAGTCGAGGTCGATGGGAATAGCAGGTGACTTTGGTGCTCTGAAACGCTGGCTTTCAATGTCGTCGATGGTGTAGTCCCTTGGATTAGATAGTGGTTTGGCTTGAGAGGATCCATTTTCTAAATGATCTTTACGCCGCGATCTCTGTGTTGACGCGGAAGTCGATTCTGGATTTGTCTTTTGATGTGGATCTTGAGTAGTTGGATTTGGGCTTTGTGATTCATTTACGCGATGTTTGAAGTAGGGAATAGAGTTTTGATCGTGGGTATCACTGATTCTGCGATGTCTGTCTCCAAAGCTGTCGTCGAAATCGTACTGTAAATGATTTCTTGGGGTCTGGATGCTGGGATATTGACCCTCGAGATCGATTTCACCGTCTTCGCGGCGTCTTCGGGGAATGAAATTATTGAAATAAGGATTTCGGTTTCCGGACTGGCTTCTGGGGTTATTTTCCTCTTGTGTGAAACTTCCAGGGATAGAGAATTGAAGTTCTGGATTACTCGTGCTGCGAGATCTTCGTATGGGGGGTACCAGTGAGAGTCTGTCTTGTATTGTTTTGGGTGCTGGGATTTTGGATATCATGGTATTCGACTGCATATGATGAGGGACAGTCCCGGCTTTCAATGCTATCGTGCTGACTGAAACGTTGGTCTTTTGGATGGTAGGTACTATGGTGCATTTGAGGAGAAGGGTCTTGGAAGCTGTGGATGATAGATTGCTGACTCTGTTGGCTCTCTATATCCACTTTTGACCAACGGATGGGGGGGGGGGAGAGAAATCTCTTGAATCTTGAGGGTGTATTCATATCTGTGTTGGGCATGGCTAATAGTTCGTCGCTTGTCCTTGTGTATTATTGGTTTAAGGTATTGTCGTGAAGATGTAGACACAAATCATGCAGCTGTTGCTCTAAGAAAGAGTCGAAGGTTCAAGAGGTAGTTGTTAAATCTCTATCCAAGTTTTATACGGTGTCTATACGGTTATGAATATCAAGACGAGGGGTCGGCTTCATGCCATACATTGAGGGCAATAGTGGATAGTATATGAATCATTAAATACATTAGAGAAATACTCATCTCTGGCACAACAGTACTTATGAATACTCAAAATCATCTATATCATTCAAATACAAATTCTTTCATCATCCAATAACATAATAATAACTCGACTAAATGCCCAGTAACGCGCCTTTTGTCGTACTTGCCAACTGTAATCTCCAAAACTTTTGTTCGGCACACAAGAATACTTCCCCATCCTTTCCAAAGCAGAAGTTTGCTACGCCTCCAGGAACTAAAATGGTGCCGATTAAAGTCCCGGCTGGATTCCAGACCTCCACACCATCGCCACAGCCGGAGTATACATTACCGTGAACATCACATTTGATGCCATCTGGGAAGCCATCGACTGCATATGCAAAAACTCTTCGGTTTATGAGGAAGGGTGCGCCTGATGTCATGTAAACATCAAAAGCATAGATTGTTGCAGGACTGAATCGTAATCAGCGAAAGATCCATGATTGTAAGATGAAGAGACATACCGCGTTAAATCCTCGTTTCCATCCCCGTGAATTTGATCTGTATCCGTAATATAAACCACTGACTCATCCGGCGAGAAAGCAATTCCATTTGGTCTACCAAAGCCATCTGCCACAACTCTAATATCTCCCGTAATAGGATCGAATCTATATACTTGACAAGGGAGTTTAGGCTTCAATCGGAAATCTTGCTCCCATCCATAACATGGATCTGTGAACCAAATGCTACCATCTTTAGCCACCACGACATCATTTACAGAATTGAAATGTCTTCCATGAAAGTTCGTCACCATAGGTTTCGGAGGTGCAGATCTGGGCATATGATAAATACCACCTGAGCCTGCGCTTCTATTTCCTTGAGCACAAAATAGAATACCATCTTGATAATTGACACCACCATTCGGCATGTCAATGCCTGGTGGTGGACGCATTTTAGCCCACTCGGCAGATTTGATGCTTCCGTCGTCATTGCGATGGAGCTTAATTCTAGATATCAGAATAGTTGGGAAGTTTGCGGAACTGGTAGCTTGTAGGAGGTTTGATGTGACATAGAGTTCATCATGGTCGGGTAACAAAACACAGGCTTCGTGAAAGAAAGGGTTGTTGGTTGATCCAGCAGTAGAAAATAGGAGTGCATGTGACGGGGCTTCGCCAACTAGTGATGCAAATGCGGAATCATGTTGAAGAAGAGTGACTTGGTCTGAAAGACCATATGTGGTACTGATGGAAATGTGTCAGCATCAATGTTTTTGACGGAGTAAAAAAGACTAACCCAGCATTTCCGCTGCTTGCCTTTAGTTTGTCAACAATCTAATAAGAAATGTTAGTGAGCAACAAGAATGCAATCACGAAGTTTAAGGTTACCTCTATCTTGGTAGGCACACTTGATATAGCAGAATTGGTAACTGCTGCCATTTCTGCGCCTCTGAAGCTTTTAGATTGATATGAAGTTCAAAGTGTCGTAAACACCAACGTGAAAGATTCCTATTTTACGTAGGTATTGAAGCTTGTTTGGTCCTTTTTGGTTAAATGAGGTCTCGAATCTTGCTAGCAATAGTAATGGAAAAGGTGGGGTGGTGATGTCGGAGAGCTCCCGGCCGGTATTTATCCGAGACATCGCGGGGGAATTTGGAACGACAACGACCAGAAAGCTCGCTCGAATGATCTTTGAGTAGAAAGCATTTAAATATGATCACCTTCCTGGCTGAGCATGTTGATATTCTAAGGAGTTGAGCAACACTATTTACACGAGCTCCAAGAAAAGCAGGAGTTTGAGACAATAATGTGCACACATAGCCTGGAAGAATATTCCCTCGAGATATGACTCTTCTTAAAATGCCATTTCATTAATCTATAGTATGCTATCATCTTCTGTCAACAGCTGAGATTATTTGAAAGGTTTGTAGCGCGAATAATGAGTCTATACCGAAAATTCTTCAGTTTGCATTGGAGATTCAACGGTTTTGCGGGATTCGTTGCAGGATTATGATATGTTAGGAAAACACGACTACGAAGCATCATCACGTATCCCATGATACTTCCGCTAGAACTTCAGAGAGAGACGGATGATAGGAGCGTTAGGTAATCATCCCACGGACGAGTGTTCTCGTGTTTAGCTTTTCATTTATTGTTAAAGAAATTCAGACTTTGACTCCTAATTATCCTGCAGCAAAATTGAATCAACTATGCCATTTCATACGCACGAACAGAACAAAAAAGAGAGAACGTTCGCTTCGCGCTATTACATCCTCACCTATTCATCGCTACCGACCCCTCAACCAATAACAGAACAAGAGACGAAAAATAAAGTTGCCTTCTCCTCATTACATGTGTACTCATCCCAACATTACTACTCATTTCCTTTACATTGCGCAAATCATCCCTACAGCCACTGCTAATGCGAAGCCTAGGCTCAAATTGCACATAATCGGCGTCGCATTCGAGGTAGTCACCTGCATCGGTCCTGTCGTCTGCGCCGCCGTGCTATCCTTAGTGCCAGTACTACTTCCAAACACTGCCTCTCCAGCCTTAGAGCTTGGACCGCTTGGCGATATTGATTCCCAGTCATTGACTCCGGTACTGCTCGCCCATGAAGAGTCCCAGCTGCCAGTTCCGGTACTGCTTTCCCATGAGGAGTCCCAACTGGCACCCCCAGTACTACTCGTCCAGGACGACCCCCAATCGTCAAACTTTGTACTACTCGCCCATGTTGACTCCCAAGTACTAAGCGGGGTTGCTGTCGTGCCGCCTACTACTCCAACAGTTGTAGTGGGCCAAGCAGTGGCAGTGGTTAAGATACTCTCGAGACTGTATACACTATCTAGTATGCTTACAGCATTATCGACATAGGACTTTGCGTCTGGAGACAGTGAGGTATACCAGTCCGGCTTATTGGTACCGGAAAGTTGTTCGTCTAGCTGCGAAACCCCTGTTGGAGAGTATCCAAGGGTTGAGGCCGAGGTAGGAATGTTGGAAAGTTCGGAGGCAAGGGATGAAGGGATATCGAGGGCAGTGGAGAGAGAAGAGAGACTGGAGACTATGCCAGAGCTGCATTGAGTTATGAGTGTCAGTTGGAGGCCATTGAACGGAGGTAAAAGAAGATGAAATCATAAGGTGAAACTTACACTACAGCCGCCTGACTTGCATCCAATGCAACGTCCGGTACACCAGCCTGGTTTGGATCAGATGGATGGTCGGCGACAGCATCTTTATTATCATCCGATGGATAATTCGCAAGCACCACAGTGCAAAGACTAGCCGCCAATACCAAAATATTGATATGCATACTTGCAATTCTGTACGATACGTTACTGCTCCGAAATAAGTTGCCTTGCCAGAGGTAAGATATTTAGTAAATGATATTTCGAATTCGAGAAACTGCTGGAATTTTCAAGTGAAAGACGAAGAACTTCGGAAAAAAATGAAAGAATAACATGAAAATATATGCACATCAAGATTTGGATTCTCTCATACAAACACGGCTCATCACAAGCTGCATTAGCCACGTTTGCTTCCCACGTTACGTACCCCGTCATGCCGGGCAAGTTTCCCTGGTAAATAATCGTTGTTTCGGCTTGATCAATATTTATCCTCATTCTGAAAGAACTTTTTTTTTCAAGCCTCAAATACTCTTGGAAAGTCGTCGTAATGGGAGACTCTTGATTTAAGACACGGTTCGGCAGCAATCATCATAGCTTGATATACTGAGGTTTAAATGCGTATAATTCGATATTAGTAAAGAATTAATTCGCATGCATCGATAAAGACATAGAAATCTCACTTTGACATCAAAAACCGTTGAAATCACATCGCTAGCATGAAATTTGTTCCCCTTATTCTCTCCTCGCTTCATTTAGTTCGCAAAAACAAGAGCAAATTCCTCAATTTCTCAGCATTTCTGTAATCTGTGTATTGAATATCCCAAGACTTCTGATTAAATATACGCTTGATACTTTACCCTGGTCAATGAATGTGATTGATTAGTCTTATCCGTATCCCGTTCCCGCCCAAGCATGCACATGGGCTACTCTGTCTAATAGTCTATCAAGAAAACGGAGCTCCGCTTGACGCCTCACTGCAACTTTCGGTACTTGACATGCTCCCCCACACTATGCGTAATCTAGTCACACAAACATTACGTGTGTTTGCACCACCACATATTCACAATACCTTCACGGGATGATCATGGTTGGAGTTAGGGTGATGATCTGTGTTTCATTCAGTATTATGTGTTTCGTATTCGCTTGCAGTTTGATACAATGGAGTAGCATGGGGTAGTCCGTAAGCTGACGCAAAAGTCTGCTGAAAATTCTATTGATATCTTTTACCGTCTTGGGATTTATGTTACATGTGCATGATTTAATCCATTGGAAACAACTTTGATGAGGCTACAAAGGCGAATATATTGATGTAACTCTAAGCACAGGTTTCGAGCTTATAAAACGATTGCCTTCACTTCTGCATCTACATAAGCCCACCTACAGTATTCTAGAAACAAAAGAATACAGTCATTACTCCACGCTCACTTCAATCATGTTGAATTTTCACCAGAATTTATTTCCATCAATCTCATTCGCAAAGATCTGGTTTCAATCTTCCGAAATTCGGAACATAATACACAATCCAAAAACTAAGAGTTTACTGTAATTGTGACGGAACTGTCATGTCAGAATAGTATCATTCCACAACGATTTTTCTAAAAAAGAGGTCAATCAGAAAAAGAGAAGAAGGGGTAGTTCCCCACTAATAGCTATCGTCTCAGTGGACGGTACTAATTAAACCTTACAAGTACTAAATCGGGAAACCCCATGGTGATATAACTATAGTACCTATCTTGATGAATTCTATATCAGATCGCGTTTTTTTACATCTCTTTAACATTTTCAATATAATACCCATGTCGATATTATAACCCTAGGATGAGCTCCCACTAGTAGCTCGCTCTGGCTCCTTGATTAATTTCAAACTTTTATTCAATATCTGGTTTCTAATACTATCATTGTTGGCCGACGATTATATTTTTCTTTTTTTTTGATTCTTGGCAAAGCCATTCCTTAAATTTCATGAATGCAGTTATGTTTGCTGTCTGGCAGTTCGATTTATATCAGCGGAACTTCATAAACGCTCGAAGCAGGCATAACGAATAGAAGCGTAGCATCTCCGATATAGGGGGTAGAAACAGAGAATATAAAATCTCATAATTAAAGAGAAGAGTGGTCAAATAAGAGGAAGAAAAATAAGTGATTGACTTTAAAGTACTCAAAAAAGATGAAGAAGTTTTCGTTACAAAATGTCACGCCATCTCGAGTCTTTTCGCCCACACCAGAATAATGATGGATTTCTTTGCTCTTCATGTGATTCCTACATTGTCACATATAACAATACGAGATAAACTTAAAGAGAATGAAATAGTACAGTGCCGTCATATGTTGCATGGGCCAAACGGAACAGGATAGAAGCTGCACTTCGTCTTTCCAACAAAATACATTTCTACGTCAGGGCTCAAGCTAATTTATCTTACTCTTCAGCGAAATCCTGCATTTGGGTCTGTGATCCGAGGATCGATCTGCTTTCCTAATATTTTTTACGTAGGGTGGTCTAGATAGGTCGGGTAAAACGGTCGGCTATAGACGACCATCGGTTGACTCGGGCTGGATCGGACGAGATATTCCCTCGTGGTTGAAGGGTTTGGGTCGATTGTTTAGCAGAATATTTCGTGGATTGAATCGCTTTGCTATTTTTAGACATTCGATTGTAGATTGACTGGACTGATTTGATTTTTCAGATTCCAAAATCCAAATCGGAGACTTCCAAACCTAGATTTTGATCCCCAGTATTCAACCCGGATTTCCAGCGTCACATTTCAATCTCAGAATCCCAAAATATAACAACCTATTCGACTAAAAAATGGTTACAAGTTCCAAATTTTGTGAAATAACATTCATAAATAGGTAACTATTTTTAGTTCTTGAGAACCATTTTTCGTTCCTTCACGGGCCGGGTCATGAGTCTGGCCTCGAAGGAAAAATGCGGTAAGAGTGCAAAACTCACACCTAGCGAGAACAGGTTCCAGCGGCCTCGTAGGTAGCCGAACTCCCGGCATTTTGTGATTTCAAACATACCTCGTAGACTTTATCAAAATATAGAACTATAAATATCTGCATAAACCAGCTATTAATTCAGAGACAGACTCATACATCCTCTCATCTTAGCTCAAATAATACACAACTCATCTATTCTTTATAAGCAAATTCACATTATAACTTCCAAATAAACTCGACAAAAATGCCATCATCTAGTCAAACAAGTAGTGCTAGACAGAGCAGCAGTTCTAATGCAGGCTCTACCACAACTTCCAAAAAGGATTCAGGAAAGTCTACCTCTGACCGCAGTCGAGACACAACAGCAAACTTTACCCCCGGAACAATTCGAACCGCTTCCCCAAAGCCAATTGATCCAAACGCCAAAGCCCAAAAACCACCGGAGAGGAGAGTAAAACCAAAGAATCCAGCCACAACCAGTAGGCGGTAAAGCGAATCTCGTCGCTCAACTCGACCCTCAATAATCATCTGAAGAAAATCGGTTTTGGTGATCAACAACTATGGGATTAGAAACACGACCCGAGCAGACCTGATTCTCTGGAACAAAGCAAGCAAACGGTTCTGATTGATGATCAAATGCTTTGGTTAACACAATTGAAAAACACAGAAAAAAATTCACCTCGGATCGAAGTCTTAGGGAGGAGAAACTCTGTATGTAAAAAAGATGAAGGTAGTTCGCTAGCACTATTTCCTTGTTAGGAAAGCCTTTTAAGTAAATTAGTGAGATAGAGAATTGAAAAACACTCCAGCATCTATAATCCCGGCTATAAGTTTTACTCAGTCGGTTCCATCCTTAAAATTTGGCTACATCTCATGTTGTTTGATTTCACAGAATGAAGCCGTAAGATACACAAATCTAGATTCTTTTGATTGATCTGTCTCCTGATTGCCCCTTCTCAGTGAGCGTATGTTTTGTCGACGATCGAGTTAAATTCTGTGTGATCAATTGCAATTTGGTATCTCTATCATCAACTCTCGTTTTCTGAAAGTCACTTCGGAAGGTATAATCCCCCACAAACCACCATACTTTCGATTAAAATAATCGTACTGAGGGGAACAAGACGAGGAGATATGATAGCGGAGGTGAAGATTGAACATACACAATAACGCAGAACGAAACACTATCATCCGTGGAAGTCCTCCATGAGATGAGAGTTGAAACACGCGTTATGCATAATCAATCCCTCCGCTCATAATGTCTACACTGACTGAGAATAATAATCCCAAGCAAAGGGCCAGAGAATGCGGAGCTAGGATACAGTGGATATGTAAGTATTTGGCGATATAATCTGCAATAACAACAAATGATTTATGGTTTTGACAGGAGTAAGATTTGATAACGCTGGAGTTCCAACAATGAAGGACAGGAATCAAGAACTTTCCAGTACAAACGCTCGACCAAGGAGCAAATTGCTAAAACGCAGATCGTGAACCGCGACGTTTCCAAGGTTCTGGGAAGACTCAAAGGGCGAGACTTCTCCTTCGTCTAGTGGCAAACCATAATATTGAACATAATATACACCTCCTGATAGCCCCCACACTTGCATAAACACACCATCACCCGGCCTCTAATTGATCCATTCCGGAATTTCGAGATCCTTACTAAAAGAGCTAGCATTTGCTTGAAATCAATCAGTGTATTCGTCAATATCATTTTATATAATGTCCTGGTACTCTCTATCTTTGAACTGTCAGAAATGAATCAAACTCCGATGCCAAGAATGGTAAGATCGCTTGCAATAAGACTAATCTTCCTTTTAATACTTTGTCCTTCACAAGAGTTGTTATTCAACTGAAAATGAGACATATAAGTACGAAAGGCAACAAGAAATCCAATAACGAGAAGTGAAAATATTGATATGGATGACGACGACATCGAAATTAAAACAGGTGGGTGACAGTAGAAACTCAGGATAAGCCCTAATGAAAAGTAAACTCAAAGACGACTTTGCTTCTGTCAGGCAAGAGCAAAGCAATGGATAGATCTCGAAAAGTTGAGGCGAATCTCACACTCCTAGACATTACTTTCCAGAGTACGATATGATTTACTTGAAGAAAACAATAGAACTTTTGAGGCTTTATAACCATCTTGTAAGAGATCATGCGCCTGCGTCAACGAAGCAAACGCCGCACTCAGCTTATTTTCTGGATGCGCCATAGTTACAAGGTAAATATGCCAGCCTCTCTAATCCAATCCAATTTAATAATCAGTGATTGCCCCTTACTTTCTTCTCTCCAAATTTTTCTTTCATTGGCGCCAGAAGTCTCAAGTTAAAATTCAATATTCAATCAATATCAACCCTGCGGATACTGACTCAATAAGCAAGACAGAAATATAAAAGCCTTCTGATATCCCAGAATTTGAGCTTCAGTTTTCATGCGAGACTATAAGGATATGGTGAGAATTATGATCCTAATGAGAAATAGAAGAGGCGGATGTATTCAAGCTGTCGGTTGTTGAGCCTACGGTATAGGATCCGATGGTTTGACAATTATTGACTAAACTGAATGATGCAACGACAAATCCCGAACGAATGACAGCGGTTAGACGATAGCAACTTTGAGAGCGATGAGATGCCATGAGGCGACATTGAATGCGAATATAACAACCGACAACAACGCCGACTAAAATAACCAAGCTTCACTTTGATCAAAGAACTGCTTCTGTGAGGTAAAACTAGACCACAGAATATCATGTGCTGTCACTGGTGCTATGTTTTTTCTCACTCTGGAAACACATGCCAGTCCAGAATCTCAATTGACACTCTCTTTACCTGTAGATTTTTGACTTTCTTCATTTCATAGACTATATCCTCTAAATTCACAGAAAAAGCTCGTGTAAACTCAACCACAGGCCGGCAATCAGACAACCAATATAGCCTCTAACCAGTCATTAACCACCGACGATCGATACTAGCAATACTTATATGACAGCGACATCCTCTTCAGTTTAATCAGAAGAGTTTGAATTTATTTAGTAAAAAAGACTGGGGTTCCACTGTATTCTATCTTCGTATTCAGGATGGGAGATGAATGATGAAGCGATGAATCACAATCATATTAAGATATAAGACGGAAAGATGTGAGAGTAGTGATGATAAAATGGGAGTGAGTGACTTTGGGATAATTTGGAGAGAAAAGCAGAACTATCTGAGGGGAGCAGAGTGATACCGAGGAAATATTAAGTTAACATTTCTGCAAGGTTTTTGTGTACTTGTCTGATCTTCTCCATGTTGAACACTGCGATTCAGTGTGAGAATTCGATTGAACACCCACCTACAATTAAAACTAAAAGTTTCTTGTGAACCGTCAACGATCCGATCTCCACTCAACACCCTCCACTACTTCCTCCACTGCCCACCCACACATCACGCCTGATCGTCGACCCACCAGTGCCACATTCCGGAACCACACTTGTTCTATTCCTCGTCTCATAAATCGGAGCTTGACCGCAATTTTGTTCTCTCACATAAACATAACTGACTGGCTCTCCAGCTGTCAACTGCGCATCCACATACCAAACAGGGTTATCCGTCGTATACATCCCTGCATTCATAGGTAATGCACTATTCAAATTCCATGCTCCTAAATCCGTCGTATTTCCAACAATGTAAAGGTTTTCGCCATAATATGTTGTGGCATTAACATAAAATCGCACTGGATATTGACATGTTGCCGTTACATTTGGGGCTCCTGCTGCGATGGCTGGGACGTACACTCCTTGAGAAGATGAAGATGCGCAATTAGGGGGTGGAACTGATGCTGCCGCACTTCCCCAACTGGCAGGATATTGACCAGAGCGTCTTTGGGCCATGGTGACGAATGCTACGTAACTCCATGTTAGATCATTGGCAGAAATGGGGGCTCCTGTATTGCGATCGAATTGTTCGGCTAAAGATCCATTACTGGGTGTATATTTTTGAGCAATTGCTACAAAAGAATCGGCGTATGTTGTTATGACATTAAGGATTTTGCTAAACTCGTTATCCCTATTTGTGTAACTCTTAAGTTTGATGGATGGGTAAAGATCGCGGAAGAAATTTACGGATGTTGAATCGACGGTAAGTTTTTTGTGATTTCTCCATTGTGCAACAGCATCGTAGAGAAATTCCGCAGCAGCAGTGGTAAGCAAATACCTACGAAAGTTAGCATCGAAAGTTATGAGCCGCAGGGGATGGATGGAAGTACCATGGGTTCCCTCCTTGATAGACATCTTCTGCGTATCTTCCAACTGCGATACCTGAGTTGTTTTTAATACCAGCATTGATACCATAGATTCGAAAGCTATTCACAACTGCTCTGAAATTAGACAACGCTCTGCTACTACAAGGTTGTAAATTTGGACTATCACAGGATCCATCAATATCGAAGATAGAAATCGGTCCAAGAATAGAGGCTCCGTCTAGCCCTGTTCTTCCGTTATCGACATTAATATTCGAGACAATATATTCTCCGTTCCAAAAACTTTGATTGAGGAAACATAGAGTTTCTAATGCATTAAGATATCCTGGAGATTCAACACCGAGTTTATTTGCCAGATTTCCGGCTTCAACAAAAGCACGATGTTGATTTTGTACGGTAAAAAAGCTGGATCCCAGGACTTCTTCCCACAAATCATATCCAGTTTGGTTCCAATATTCGCCAATATATGATAAGTCATTTGCAATGACAGGCCATATGACTAGCTTGGCTCTTTGAAGCTGATTATGATTGATTAGCCAGTTGCTATAAGCCATTAAAGCGATAGCACGAAGAGCTGGACCATCACGTTGAGGTCTACCCCATGCTGGGGAATGTTAGCGGGTGCCAGAAATTACCTCTGAATATTACATACCACCATTAAATCGAGTGCCATCAACCTCGTATTTCGGTTCACCAAGTCCTAGGCCATTAGGAAGAAAAGTGCCAGAAGGATTTGTAATAGTTTGAAGGATGGCTTGAGCTTTGACGTATTTCTCAATTTGAGGTTGGAGTGCACGATTGCCAAAAATAAATTCATCAACAAGCATTTTTAACGTCAACGCAGAATCTCGAGTCCAGGTATAAAAGTCTGGATTCAATTAGCATGAATTGCCTTGGAAACAAAACAGTAGTCTCTCTCACAATCAGGATTGGCTTTCGAAGGACTTGCAATGACATAATTGCCTGCTCCTGACGCTTTCGACCCATCTGGTCCGATATTGTTGAGAACACCCTGTAGGGCAATCTTTCTCTCAGAAGCAATGAAAGAATCGAGATTACTGTAACTTGCAGCCGAATCCCTTGGTGAGATTGCGGTTGCTTGTACACATAGCAGAGATAAAATCGCAACAGTCGAAGAAAGCAGCATCTTGAGTATTGATGATTGTTTACCTCAAGTCGAGAGGAGAAGAAACAAATGTGGTACAAACGAAATAACATACAGCAACATGAGCACTTGTTGATACTTTCTTGTACTTTTCCGTCTCATGTCACAAACGTCGTAATTGGTCAAACTAACCTCCATGTTTTTCACTCCATGTACTCCAGATGGAAGGAGCAAGACGACGGCCCGATTATCTTGCGGGGTTACAAGCGGGGAAGGTGCATAGATGTATGAAAGCCAAGTACTTTTGACATGTGAGGTTGGATATCAGGGGTTCTGTAGTATTGTGCCGCTGTCTTTTACCTAACATTGTTGCGGGAAAATAGGCATCTCAGCCAGCACGAGAATTAATGAATTCGCGAGTCGAACAAGTACGCTTTTGCGATAAAATCCATTGCCAATACCAAGGCAAAGTTGAGGGGCTGAGGAGCTGAGGTACGAGAATCTTCACAAATTGGCTTTCTTGAGATTCCGGATACACTTTGCCCAGAAGGCACAGAATGTAAGAGTTCTGGCCTCTGCTCACCGTATCTTTGTGACAAATGTGACAAAATCCCTGCAAAAATAAGGTTTTTCTATATAAATTGTTATATTAACATGGTTTATCAGTGCATAGCCCATATCAGTGGGTGGCCCACTTTCATCTCAATTCGATTTCCTTATTTCAATATACGTTTTATCAATAACCTATAATGAATTCGAATAATAAAGAAGCTTGTATATTACTCGTTATCATAACTATTCAGAAAGATAAGAAGCTAAGTATTCGAAAGATTACAATATTATATAATATTCTATAATCAATACTACAATATAGAATTAATGATATACCTCCTTATACAGAAATTCAACCTAAATCTCAAAATCTCTTAGAATTAGAAGAGGAAATCATTATTTAGTATATAATTGATATAAATTCGAGAGGTTTTATATCTAAACAAAAGGGAATGGAAGATATAGCAAATTATATTTTGAATTTCGAGGTGTAAAAAGAGTTAGAAAGCTTTGGGCTTATTGATTTATCAAATGTATATAAAGCTAAAGATATATTTTAAATATGTTTATGATTTTCAAAAAACTCTCTACAAAGATTTTATACTTATTGAAAACTGGTTTTGACTTATATCGAATATACAAACAAAATATAATATTCTCGATTGCGATTTATAGAACTTCGATAAAATAGGCTTTATAATAGGAATAATAAATATTAATATAGTTATTACTAATGCTAAAAGATACGGTAGAAGTAAAGCTATATAGTTAGATAATCGAGAATGGCTATAGTGATTATATATAATAATAGTAAAGAGAATACTATATCTCTATTTCTAATAATTCAAAAATAAATATATTTTTTTTAATTGATATACAGAAATCGATTTTTTCTATAAATTGAACTATTAAATCTACAAGCAATAAATAAATAAATAATGAGATAGAATTAGAATAATTAAAATACTTCGATAAACATACAAGAAATCGAACTAAAGGCAATACAGAATACTAATACTGGATGAGTATGAAAGCTATAAATCAATATTATTCCAGAACTATTATAAGGAGAATAATATTAAATATATATATATATTATTGTATTCAAATTATTAATTCAATCTCTTGATATTGAATATTTTAACATCTTAAAATGAAGTATGGTATACAAATTGAAAGATATAGAAAAGCTCAATTAATAATAAATTATTCGAAATTTAATTAATATTGATTGAAAGAGTGTTTCTATAAGATTATAAAATATTTGAAAAAATCCAAAATTTTGAATTGAGAAAAGAAAGAATAGATATATAGATTTGAATATCTAATTTAAAAAGTATTATTTCAAAATCAAATAGGATTAATCCTATTTCTCGAAACCCTAATTTCATATTTGATTTGTAATTGATTATTGATATATAGCTTTGAAAGTTATAAAGAATTCGATTTTTGAAATATAATTGATATATATCTTTATAAACCTTTTAATTTATATACTATATTTCATTTTAAAATATTAAATATCTAATATCAAAAACTAGATTAAATGATTTGAATATAATAATAAACATATATATTTAATATTATTCTCTTTATAATAATTCTGAAATAATTGATTTATAGCTTTTATATCTATTTAGTATTAATATTCTATATTTGCTTTTAATTTGATTTCTTATATATTTATTAAAGTGTTTCAATTATTTTAATTCTGTTTTATTATTTATCTACTTATTGCTTATAGATTTAATAGTTCAATTTATAGGAAGATCGGTTTCTATATATCAATTAAAAAAATATATCTATTCTTAAATTATCAGAAATGGAGATATAATATCCCCCTCACTATTATTATATATAATCACTATAGCCCATTCTCAATTGCCTGATTATATAGCTTTATTTCTGTCATATTTCTCAATATTAATAATAACTATATTAATACTTATCATTCCTATTATAAAATCTATTTCATTAAAATTCCATAAATCATAATCGAGAATACCATATTTCGCTTATATATTCAATATAAATCGAAATTAGTTTTCAATAAATATAGAATCTTTGCAAAAAGCTCTTTGAAAGTTATAAATATATTTAAAATGTATTTTTAGCTCTATATAATATTTAATAAATTAATAAGCCTAAAGCTTTCCAACTCTTTTTACATTTCGAGATTCAAAAATATAATTTGTTATATTTTTTATTCCCTTTTGTTTAGATATAAAATCTTTCGAATTTATATCAATTATATACTAAATAATAATTTCCTTTTTTAGTTTCGAGAGATTTTGAGATTTAGATTGAATTTCTATATAAGGAGGTATACCATCAATTCTATATATAATATTAATCGTGAAATATTGTATAGTATTACAACCTTTTGAGTATTTAGCTTTTTATTTTTCTGAATAACTATAATAACAAGTAATATACGGACTTCTTTATTATTCAAATCTATTATAGGTTGTTGATAAAACGCGTGTTGAAATGAGGGAGTCGAATTGAGGTGAAAGTGGGCCACCCACTGATATGGGCCACGCACTGATAAACCACGTTAATTAGATTAAAGCAATTGAAAGCTTTCGAACACTCTAATTAGTTTTATGGTAGGTCCTATAATAATGATGGAATTAATGGATTGAATTGAAAGGATTGATGGAGGTATATTTGAAAGTGTATTTAGAAATGCATTTGTAAGCAGTGTCTAAGCCACAATTGCCTTAAACGTTTTTCGATATTAGAATCTATATTACTATATTATTTATTTATTTATTTATAGTGATTAACATCTAATATCTGATCTTCCAAGGGGTATTCTAGATGTACTAAGAAGCGGGCCTATGGACCGCTAGTGTTTCAGCTGCTTATAGTAGTGTAATGTTAGCTAATCAGAGGCTTATTGCCTCTAGTGTTCCTCTGCTCAATATCGCTTATAGCAATCCTGTGGCTGTTCTGTTTAAGGGTTTGTGGTTCTATTTCAGAGAGCCTTGTTTTGTATATTATTCGGGTATTGGCGGATGATCAGATCGATTGCTATTAATCGGGAAAATACTTGGAGTACTTATAACTGATCAATATAGGTCTTAGGTTGATTGAGGTGGAGAGCTTATCCTTAAAGTATTGGAGTAGATTGGAATTCGCATAGTTTCGTGTAGTTTGAGTATATCCTAATATAGAATCTGGATCTAGCAAAAAGGTCAGTAAAGCTATATTGTGTTTGCAGGATGTGATTGATATATACTATTGTGTTCTATTCGGATTGAAATCGATTTAATATAAACGGCCAGTTGCTATACATTTGATTATTAATTAAATATTAAAAAATATATAATAAACTTTTCTCAATCCTATATATATAGATATTCATATTATTTTCGTAATTGAATTTAATATAATAGACTACAAAGTTATTATATTCAATCTATATCGCTATAAGTTTGTATAGTACTCTGCAAGAGAGCTTAAGGCTTCCCGGCTTTGAAATATTATATTGTAAAAGAGTAGAAGGTGGTAGGGTCATAAAGTAGTTCTTTGTAAATACTATAGATAAGTTATTGAGACGTAGTATCTCTAGTGGAGAAGAGAAGGAGAAGGCTCTATATAACGCATTACAAAACATATAAGAAGATGGTGGGAACTAACTGCTTTTTTTAAACTATATAAAGAAGATCTATAAATATTAGCTACAAAAAGAGGTCATATAATTAATACCAAGTTTCGCTTATGTTTCTCTTTATATAAAAAGGTTGATTGTTTTGATTAAGTTAAAAAGAAAAAAAAAAGTATATCCTGAAAAGAAAAGAAATAAGAAGAATAAGATAAGGAAAAATATAGATACTGATATTTTTAAGAATAGCGATTTATTAATTAGCTTTTAATATCAATTGATATAACTTTATTGAATTTTGGTAAAATTATAATAAACTAATAGTTCAATAGCTTAAAATTATTTCCAAAGCTCTTTATTGAATTTGATTGTTTTATTAACTTAGAGTTTCAATATTTTTATTCTATTTATATTACTTAAGAGTTCTTTTTTATATCTCAAACTCCAATTCTTTCTCTATCTCCAAAGTCCTATTATATCTAGGCCTTCTATATTTTGAAGTACTCAAGGGTTTAGTTTTGCTTTAGTTTGAGTTTGAATCTGGATTCTTGTTTAAATCTTTATTAGAATCTTTATTAGAATCTTGGCTTAAATTAGGATTAGAGTTCTTGTTATTATTAAATAGAATAAATCTGATTTCTCTTTTATTATTTAATTCAATATATATGCTTTTATGCTTATTCTCTGGGAGATTCTTAATGGTTTCAAAGTAAGACTTATCTTTATAATTTCTTTCAACAAGCTTAATATTATCAAATACTTATATCAAAGAAACTTTGGTAACTTTTGTATACTTTTTGTATTACTAATCGAAATCCTAATTACTTATAGTGAGAAGTCTTATTGTCTTATTAAAAACAAATATATTATTTCAAGAGAGTTTATTAATAAGAATTTGCTTAATAGAGTTTTATAAAGTT